GATCGCTCCGTTGGCCGATCAGCAGAGGGAGATCCCTTCGCCCTCGTCCACACCAACTCCTTCCAGGACACCTACCGACGTTCACCAAGCGCTGGGCAGGAGCCACGCCAATGTGTCACACGGTGACTTGACTGCCCTGCCCCGCGGTAAAAAGGAGTATAACCAGAACATTGAGTACGAAACGGATGAGTTTGGCAACAAGATTCCTGTCGGCCCATATGACGGCTACGACGGGAACCCTCGTGATATTGACCAGGGCGACTATCCAGATGACGGATACGAAGATGCCTACTACAGCACCCAGGATGTCCCCCCTCCTCTGAAATACGTTCCGTATCAGGCGGGCGCGCGTGGCCTGAGCCCGATTCCCAGCGTGTCTGGGTTTACGGAAGCTGATGGCGAGACGCCAAACAGGAACTCTCGTGGCGACGTCTATTCGTCCATCAAGTCTCGTAACTCGATGCAGTCCATTGACTCCGTCACCAGCAACTTCAAGAGCAGAGAAGTTGACCCTGCGTCGGCCGAGGCCTCCTCAGTCGGGCAGACGGCGGCAGGAAAGCCGGTTCATGGCATTGCTGCCAATCCCAACATCATTCACCCTGCCATTGCGGCCGAATCCGTCGTCGCCTCTCTCTATGGGTCAATGCTCGACCAATCCGTCTTGACTGGCGTGTACAGCGGCGCCGGAGACTCCAACCTCTCGTACGATGAGCGTTCCAAGCTGCAGAGCAGCCGAGGCGCCAGCCCAGAGAAGCAGGTTGGCATGGAACATCACGAGTATGAAGATGATCGACAGCCAACTCCTGGCCAATCCCATGATTACATGGAGTACGAGCTTGATGAGAATGGCCGCAAGGTGGCTCGCACCAAGTATCGCCAGTCCCCCACCTCGTCTGAAGCTGCCATCACTGCTGGCGCCGTCGGTGCTGCCGCTGCCGCCCTCAAGGCAGCTCAGGAAAGGAAGCAGGCCACTGTCGAAGATGCCGCCGAGGGCGACTTTGAGCCAGCCGGAGTGTTCCGCAACAAGTCGTTCAAGGAGCGAGCCATGGAGGGCTGGAAGCCGCGCAACACGCCTACTCACAGCTTGGACAGGCTAGACTACGAGACCGCTCCTCGCATGGAGGCTAGCGGCGTCCCTGACCATGAGGACCCGATGCCTGAGATTGGCTACATTGACGACGACCTTGTAACCAACCCGTCGATCCTGCAAGATGAGCCCACCCCCGGCCAGTGGTCTGGCAAGGCCACGCCTACAGAGTACGGACAGGTCATTCCCAAGTCCCAGTCTGACGAAGACATGCGAGATGCTCATCTCGACGACGAGGCTGCCCTCAGCAAGCAGCCAAGCCAGGAGGATGAGTGGCGGAGGACGTCGGCCGAGCGCAAGCGCGACACTCTGCTCACCAACCCGTACGAGGATGCCAGCCCGGTCGTGAACCCCGCGCTCAACGACAACCTTCTTGCCTCTCGTGGCCTCGGCTTCGGCACTGGCAGCCCCGGCTACAAGTACGATGAGGGATACATGTCCAACGGGCCCAACCGAACGCCAGAGGTCGAGCCCAAGGGCAAGGCAGTCCGTATGCCTGGTCCATCAAACTACATGGGCGGCCAAGATCCCCTCTACGGGCAGGACAACAACCGCGCTCTCAGCGGCATGTCTCAAGGCATGGCTTCTCCATTCTACGATGCCTCCACAGGTGGCGGCATTGAACGTATCGAAAACAAGGACATTGTTGCCTTGATGCAGCATGTAAGTTGATGAGACGATCCCTCCTTGTTCCATAAAGCAGCCGAATTACTAACGCTGTCCCGCTCCAGCTCATGGTTCGCGATGCCCAGCGAAGCGCCCGCGACACAGAAATTGTGGCGCTCCTCATGAATGCCGCGATTGAGATGCGCAACTCCTTCCGGGACCTGAAGGAGCTGGTCCAGGACACTGGAGAAGATGTCATCTTTGCCAATTCCGAAAACACCGAGAAGCTCCAAAAGGCCATCAACGGCCCTCGACCTTACCCCGGCCCTCGGTCTGTGCAGAGCAACTCGGTTGCCGGCACCACCGCGGACGACATCACGGTGAAGAAGAAGGCGCTGTGGAAACGAGCGCTCCAAGGCCTCAGTGCCAAGGGGACCAGTGATCTCACTCGCATCGAGGACATGCTGATGCAGCTCCTCGGAGAGGTGGACGTTCTCAAGACGCAGACGGCGCCGCCCATCTCGGCCAGGGTCTCGACCAGCGGAGCAGGGCAGTCGTTTGACAATCTCCAGCCAGAGGGGCAGTACGAGCACGACAAGGGCTATGAGCCCGAGGGCAACTCCACCGCCAGCCACGCCAGCCAGTCTCAGGGGCAGCGCCACTTCTCGGACCATCGCATCGACACGGTGCCTGAGCACGAGGATGAGTACGAGTACGACCACCCGACGCCGACGGCAGAGCGCACCCAGGTGATTTCTCCGCTGGGCACGGTGGACCGCGATGTGCATCGCGGCGGGTCGCTTCCGCCGGAGGACGCGCCGCAAGTCTCTGGCCAGGGCTACGACCACCCGCACAGCGCCGACAACACGCCTCGCAGCGACAAGGGCAAGAAGGGCAAGTCGGGCAGCTCCAGCTGGTTCCCCAAGATCTCGCGCTGGTCCGGGACGACGGCATCGAGCGTGGGCAAGGCGCTGCGCGGCAACACCAAAAAGGACGCCAAGGACGACGTGCTGCAGTCTCGGTCGGCGTCGAGCATGGCTTCGCGCGACGACCTCTACCCTCTTGACACGTATGGCGACGACAGGTTCCACAATGGGTATCTCGAGGGGGGCCGCCTGGCACCGCCGCACGAGATTCTCGAATCATCAGCGCCCATTGTGCCGACGATTGCGACGCCGGAAGATCCAAAGTACAAGGCTCACCGCAACTCGATCAACCTGATGCACCCCCAGCCGAAGCAAGGGCAGACGGAGCGGTTCCGAAACGCCCTGGAGTACTCTGCTCAGGACTTTGACGCACCAGCGACGCCCAGGACTGCAGACTGGGGTGGCTCCATGAACAGCCTGAACCGCCTCAACGGTGCTGCATCCGGGCGGTACGGCAACGAGGGCGGCGATTACTGGCCGGCAGCCCCTCCTCAGCAGCAGCAGCAGCAACACACTGGCCCGGCCCGGCCTCCCAAGGAGCCCCTGAACGAATCGTCGGAGCAGACGCCGCCTCGGACCACACGGGTCTCGGCGCTGCAGAAGGGCAGCCCCCAGGGGCCCCAGGGCTACGAAAGCGGCTACGCGAGCGGCACCGGCACGCACCCAAGCCAGTACAGCCGCATGAGCCCCAAGCCAGAGAACAAGAATCTCAACGCCGCCCTTGGCGTGCCATCGCGCAGGCCTAGTGGTCCCAGAGCAATGACACCCAAGAGCCCGGACGAAGATGCGGCCCGAGAGGACAGACGGAGGAAGAGAGGTACGTTGCGATGAGACTTGTTGCTACTTTAACCCGGATTACTGACCTGTTGATTGCAGACACCTTTGGCAGCCTAAACAGCCACGTGAGCCAGGCCAGCCAAGAGACGGACACGTTCTAGGCGAGGTCGTGCCGTTGCTTTGGACCCCGGCCTGTTGCTACACGAGTTGACGACGTACATGAAAGAAGAGATGGATGAGCCTGATCCTTCAATTCTTGCTTCCCCTGTTTTTATCACATGGCTTTTACACACAATACCCATACAAAGAAGATGATTTTTATGTTCTTTTCTTTTCTCTTTCCTTGAAAAAGGCGAGTGTCTGATTTAGAAAATGGTTGAAAAAAAGAAAACGGAGTGACGAGCGAGAGAAGGGAGTGAATGGGGAGAAGCTACCTTGCCTGGCCCGCACGGGTTTCGAGAGTGGGATGCGAGGAGGGTGGAGAGTGCTGGACATGCAGGGCAACTTGCGAGGATACTACATAATGCTATGGATTGCTTCGGGGAAGCCGGGGGCAAGGATATATGGGACGCGAGGAGGCAATGGATTTTGCAGGAAATCTTGCTTTGCGAGACTATATTGTGCGTTGAGCGGCCTTGAGCAGCTCCCTTTGTTTGCTTTTTCTTTTCCTTCTTATCTTTCGAGCCTCCCCTTTTGTATTTCTCAGAGTTCTTCATTCTTACGACGACATGACATGAACATTTGATTTGAGAGCGGAGCAAAGGCTTGCGGCGGTCTTGATGATGTGACTGACGATGCATTGATATCAGGCTTTCAAGCGACTGGGAGCTGAAGGGATGATGGGTTGATTGTATGTGAATCATGATTTGACATGAGAATTTGTCACGTCAAGCTGTGTCTAGTTCATCCATTGTGCTTATATGTTGTCTCTGACTGTCACGCTGCTGCTGAGTCCATACTACAAGTCAAAAGACACGTCGTGAGACGCTGTGAGACTCGGTGTATGCATGTCTCTCAAGATGCAGCAGTTGATGGCATGGCGCCTTGTGGCATCTCGTATTATGCATAATTAATAACGCAGCCTAGGTATCGAGGACATTCATGATGGGAGACGGAATTGTTGTGTATTAGTGTACCGTATTACGTTTGACGGAGGGGGGGGAAGAGGGAGCATGACTGTGTTTTGAGAGGATCGTGGGGGGTGAATTCCCCTCCCCACTTCTGCACGCGGGATGGACTTTTTATCTTACGGACGACATGTTACAATTGTTTGCTTCTTATCCACCTGTTCAACTGCATCAGAACTGTTGCCTTTTCCAGCGCGTCTTCTTGACATTGCCGTGTTCCCCATTCTCTTCTTTCTTTATGAACTTGCCTTTTCTGGGGGTCTTTTGTCCAAATTTGCTTGTCAGCGCCCGGTTGGCTAGATTGATGGACGACGAATTTAACCCGAAGCCGGACCCTGAAATCACCAAAACTCCACCAACTCACTCGATTCCTCTTTCACGTCACCCTCCGTTCCCATTCGCTCCATTCAGTCCCAGTCATTTGATCTTTGATATTGAGAGGACACACATTGGGTGCTTGATACAGACGTCGACCCAATGGAAGAGGCCACGGCTTCTCCCGTGTCGCCGCCCGCGTCCGTGGTGCAGCAGCAGCAGCAGCAGCATGAGCATGAGCATAAGAGGAAGAAGTCGGCGACATCGGCCAAGCGCGACTACAAGGGCTTTGTGGCAGGCGTCTTCAGCGGCATCGCCAAATTGACCGGTAAACCCCAATCCTGTCATATTCACACAAAAACTGCTCCCTCACTCTTACCTCTCTCTCTCTCTCATCAGTCCCCAAATTTGCTCTTCCCATTCTCATCAACCCATCATCTTCCATGAAGTAAAGGAGTGAGCATCAGAAGAACTGACACAATGTGAACATGTATATAGTCGGCCACCCCTTCGACACAGTCAAGGTCCGCCTCCAAACGACACAGTCAAGCCGCTTCTCGGGCCCCCTCCAGTGCGTCCTGCAGACGGTGCGCCATGAGGGCGTCACGGGGCTGTACAAGGGCGCGACGCCGCCGCTGGTCGGGTGGATGTTTATGGACTCTGTGATGCTGGGCTCGCTCAACGTCTACAGGAGGGTCTTGGCCGAGCACGTCTTTGGGGCGGACTCGTGGGCGCCGGGGCTCGGTCCCGGGGGCACCTTTTTATATCCTTCTTCCTCTTCTTCTTCTTCATCATCATCATCATCACCATCATCATTATCACGATCTTCTTCTTCTTCTTCTTCTTCTTCTTCTTCTTCTTCTTCTTCTCCTTCTTCTTCATCAACACGATCCTCGCCGCCAGAAGCGGTGACGTATCTGCCGCCCCTGGGCCACGGCCTCGCGGGCATCATGGCCGGCGCAACAGTCAGCTTCATCGCCGCCCCCGTCGAGCACGTGAAAGCCCGGCTGCAGATCCAGTACGCGGCCCTCAAGACGGAGCGCCTGTACTCGGGCCCGCTGGACTGCGTCCGCAAGATCTACGCGCACCACGGCCTGCGCGGCATCTACCACGGCCTGTCCGCGACGCTGCTCTTCCGCGGCTTCTTCTTCTTCTGGTGGGGCAGCTACGACGTGCTGTCGCGCGTGCTGCGCAGGAACACGAGCCTGAGCGCGCCGGCGGTCAACTTCTGGGCCGGCGGCCTCAGCGCGCAGGTCTTTTGGCTGACGAGCTACCCGAGCGACCTCGTCAAGCAGCGCATCATGACGGATCCGCTGGGCGGCGGGCTGGGGGACGGGGAGAGGCGCTTTGCGAGGTGGAGGGATGCGGCGGCGGCGGTGTATAGGGAGGGCGGGTGGAGGGCTTACTGGCGAGGGTTTTTGCCGTGTTTTCTCAGAGCCTTTCCGGCAAACGCCATGGCGCTGGTTGCGTTTGAGGGCGTCATGAGGACGTTGCCTTGAGGGTGGTGATGCTGAGAGTCAGAATGGCATGCTGGGGGATATATAGGCAGTTACTATGCAGATACAGCGGGTACATGGACATGGCCAGTTTGATAGCGCATCGGGAATGGACATTGTCTCTGAGAGCCTCGTTGGGGCATGCTGCACCACCATTGGCAGACTTCACACTTCACATCACAAGTATAACAAGACAGCATGAAGAGGGAGATCAGAGTGTAGGTAAAGTCCACTCAAGGATGGCTGGTGTTCAATTAACTTGGAGAAGCTCCAGAGATTGCCCCCTTGCAGGAGATACCACACGCTGTCGACGACCTCTTTGACAAAAGCCGCACGTGCTTCAATATATATATCCTCCACCTGAAGAAGGGGTTTCACTGAATGATTCCTATTCCAAGGTCCATCCTTTTAATGTTGTTTCCCAAACAATGGCTCCCCTGTATTCCTTTTTTTTCCCTGACCTTTTTTAAGCTTTCGTGAGAAGAGGAAGTTTACTCGTCATCCTCATCGGCGTCATCGTTGACGACGTTGAAGAACTTGAGCTCGTACACACCGCGGGAGGTGGAGACGACACGGAGCCAGTCACGGAGCTGCTGCTTCTTGAGGAACTTCTTGGTCCTGTTTTGTAACAAATTTTTAGCAAGGCATTCTTCCAGAATGATACTCCTCGAAGAACGGGGTAGAGAAAATGGTGGTCCGTACAGGTACTTGAGGTAGCGGCCAGACAGCTCGTTGTGGGCAATGACCTCGATCTTGCCGTCGCCAGACTGCTGGATGACGACGTTGTCGCCCAGGTTGTTGGTGCGGCCGTCGACCTTGATGCGGTCCTGGAGGAACTTCTCGAAGGCGGAGACGTCGAAGATCTTGTCGCTAGCAGGCTGAGAAGCGTTGATGATGAACTGCCCAAGGGGAAACGTCATGTTAGCCCATTGCCCTTTCTTCTTTCCCCTTTCCAAGCAGCAAATATCTGGACCAATGGGTTTTCCCTCCTCTTCCTCATCCCCTTCGGAATCGCTTGTTGCCCGTTGCGCTTCGTTTTGCTTTGCCTTTGTGCTTTTTTGTCTTGCTTGTAGGGGGGTTTTAAGGGGGATTAGAAAACTCACCTTCTTGGTCTGCTTCTGGGCCTTGCCCGCCTTCTTCTAAATTCATGACATTTCACATCAGCCTACTGCACTTTTTCTTTTCTCTTCCAAGATCAGCAACACAAGATGTTTTCCCCCTCCTCTACTCCATCCCTCTACTCCATCCCAAACCCCTATTTTTAGGAGGCCAAGATCGAAAGAGAGGAGAGAGAGAGAAGAGGGAGGCACCGTTGTGCGCCTACAGCAAAGCCAGAAGTAGAAATGCCATATTCGTCGATTCCTTCTTCGCTCTGATGTTGTGTTTCAAGAGGTGCAACATACTGTAGTAGGAGCCATTGTTGATGATTGGGGTGGGGGGTGGTTGTTTGTCTGAGTGGACGAAGAAGGAGTGAAGAACGCAAAGAGGTCGAATCCTGCGTCTTTGGGATGTTCGGAGAGGTTTGGTGTTTAGCCTCACTTTTTTTTTCGTGGATATTTTTTTTGGGCTTTCGGTGGGTTCGGTCGGCGCAAATTAGGGCTGGCGCGGATCAATGCCTGCCGAGGTCTCCGCTTCTGTCCTCGAGCTCGCGACGTCACGTGATTTCGTCAACGTCCTCCCTGACAAGTCTTCAGCCTTCCTGCTCGAAGCACCTCATGTCAAGTATCAGATGATGATGAAATGGTCATGGTTTGCATTTGCAGTTGTATTATGGAAGCTCCATCATAAGCCTAATCGGCCCCGGTTTCGAAAATCAAATGCTTTATTTCAATTTTAACCGAACAAAACTATCATAAACCGGCCTGATGGCCAGGACGTAACAACTATGAAGAAGAGAAGATGATCCATACTCGCGTGATTCATTAGGTCGTTTGCATAAATGAAATCCCATTTTCCATCGCTGCCGCTTCTGCCAGATGTACCATTCCTCCCAAAGTCAGTTGAACAGCCTCTTGAACACTCCCCTGAGGCCCCCAGACTTCTTCTCCTGCTCCTTGGCCTCCTTCATCCGTCTGCGCTCATGACGGGCTCGCCGAGCAGCATCGTCGCCCTCTTCAAGCGGCCCAGACTGCCTAGGAGGGTCTTCGATGCGGCTCCTGCGAGGCCTGTCGTAGGTGCCCTCGGACATTCGACGATCACGCGTCCGGGGAATGTCCCGGTCTCGCGTCCTTGGCCTCATGTCCTCGGGAAGAGAAGCATCGCGGGTTGGGACGTACGTGTACCTGTCTTGAGGTGGCGGCGAAGATGATTTGCGAACGATGCCTTCGGTGTTTCTCATCCCAAAGAAGCGCTTCTCGGGAGAAGGTTGCCGTGGCAAGTCGTCTCGAGAGTAACCAGTGTTGCTCGACCGTTGGCGGAACGAGCGACTGCGATGGCGCTTGATCTCCTCTGGTGGCAAGTCGAAGCCCACCTCTTTGCCCTTGCGCTCTGGAGCGGCAGGGACATCAGCAGAGACCAAGGCCGGGGCAAGGGCCGGGGCGATGGCCGGTGCAGGTGCCGGCACCGGTGCTGGCGGTGACTCTAGGCTTTCCATAGCTGGCTGAAACACCGCCGGCTCGGGCTCTGATGCCAAGGTCTTTCCGTAGGCCTCACGGCGCTCACGACGGCGCTCGCGACGGTCTTGTCGTTCACGCCGGTCATATTTCTCAGGGCGACCATAGACCTCCTCTGGCACCTCACGGCTGCTGACCGGCTCAGGGTGTTCCAAGGGCTCGGGGCGCTGGGTTTGTTCGGGACGCTCGTGGCGGTCACGGCGGTCGGAGCGATCAACGCCACGATAATCGCGGTCGTCTCGAAAATCGTAGTGCTCACGCCTCTCTCGACGCTCATAGTGTCGTTCAGGCAGACCATAGCGCTCGTGTCCCTGGTACCACTCGTATCCGCTCTCGTTCACATGCACCTCTTGCTTTTCGAGTCGCTCAGCCTCCCGGGCGGCACGGCGTTGAGCTTTTCGTTGCTCGTGAGCTTCCTGCTCCTCAGGAGTCCTGTACCTTCTACTAGAAGAGACAGGAACTTCGCCCACTACGCCGCTGTTCCGTCGTCGGGGAGTTCGAGGTGGCGTGTCAAGCTTGGATGACCCAGATCCAGGTCGAGAACCACCACTGTCAGGAACAGAACGGCGGTAATTTGACCCCTGAGACTCGTGTGAGCGGCGCTTGCTGTCTCTGTTCTCTCTGTTGTACTCTCTGTACTCCCTGCTCTCTTCTTCGCCACGATTCCTGCTTGAATGGGAAGAGTGGCGGGAATGGCGGTACTTGCGGCGCCGTTCACGATCCCGGTCACGATCCCGGTCACTGCTCGACGAGATGTGCTCCCTAGACCTATCCTCTGCGAAAATGTCAGCAATGGATTTACGAAGATCCTCCTCCTCGAAATCACTATCACTCCTGCGTGTAGTCGGGACGGCTAGAGACTGATGTTCCTCCAACTCCAACATCATCTGATGGTCTAGATGAGGGAGGTCTCCGCCGTTGCGGAGGCCGGGCAGCGATAGACGGGCGTCAGGCCTCGATGCCTCTGCAATGGTGTGGGGGACCACAGCAGCTGCGACTGCGTCTTCAGCCTCGTGAAGTGCTATCTTCTGCTTGTGACGCAGCATGCGAGCCCTCCGCCTGTCAATCGTTGCCCTGTCGGGAACCACAACGGCGGGTGTCGGCGCTCTGAACTCATCATCCAATAACACGGAAAGAGACAGCGGAGGCGGAGTATCTTGAACCATGCCTTCAAATTCAAAAGGAGAGACCCGAGGGCCCAGGGAGGCCATATGCGGCCACCTCGGAGAGAAGCGACCTTCGGCGGCGGTGGCGGCGACGGTACGAGCAGGATATCGTAAAGGGGGCACGAAAGTGCTGGTTGCGGCGGCGGCGGCGGCGGCGACTTCAATGGGGATCGCATTTCGATCCGATTCACGATATGGCATCATCTCTCTCTTCCTCACAGTCCTCGCCTGGAATCCATCGTCGGATTGAGCGACCGCTCTCCTATCTGCAGTATATTGCGGCCCATCGACTGCCTCCCTATCGATGCTGCGGCTCAATCCGGGCGCGATGAATGCGTTTATGCGTCCGCCTTCTTCTTTCCGGACCCGAACAGCTGGGTTCGTAGCCACATGAACGGTGCCAATAGCCAAACCGTGAGCGCCTCCAGTAGACTCGACTTGGGCTACATCCTGTAAGTTTTTGTTTTTCTCAATAGGCTTCGCCCGTTTCGTGATCTCTTTACTTGCCTGTTCGAAATCTATCGTTGTCACTGCCTTCGAGGTTGATGTCTCTCCGCTGGGTGGTTGCTCTGACGAGGTATCCTTGGCTGTTTGCGCGGCATCCTTCTTCGCATCGTCAGACACCTTGGGCGTTGAGGGTTCGGCCGGTTTGGCGGCAGTTGTGGGCTCAGCCTCCCGAGCTGCAACGGGCTCCTCAACGGGCTTCGCGACTTCGGCGGCGGGGAGGGCAGCCTCTCTTTCTGTTTCTCCTTGTTTAGGTGATTTGTCTTCCACGTCAATTTCAGTCACCTCGGGTTTGGCCGCTTCGGGAGCAACAGACTCCGGAGCGGTTCCCTTGTGCCCACCTTCAACTGCGGCCGAGTTGTCGCGTTGGGAGTCATCGGATTTGTGATGAATGATCCCGGCAGCCGCCACAGCAGCCGTGGCGGCTGTGGTAGCCGCAGCAGCTCCGGCAAACAGAGCAACCTTGTCGAACTCCTCCGGCAGAGCTGGTGCCAAGGTCTTCTCAGCATCCTCCGCATTGTGAGAAGGCAGCGGCTCAGCAACGGCCTCCACATCGGATTTGGAAGAAACAACAGGCTCCTCAACTGCCGGTGTGTCAGCCTTTGCAGGCTCGTCTCCCTTGAGGTCTACCATCTCCTCCTCTCCCAAGGACCGACCCTGAATCTCTGAAGCATCTTCCGAATGCAACGCCAAAACACCGTCGTCCTTCGACTCCTCACCCGATGTGGAGTCGCCAGTCCGTCCCGAAATCTCAACAGGGGTATCATGTAATGAATGCTGCTCCTCACCTTTCCTGACTTTGTCTACCACATTCTTCTCGACTGAGATAGGACCCAGAGTATCCTTGTGTTCTTCTTCCTCGGCGTGTTTGGGCGCCTCCACCTCAGCAGTCACAGGCTGCACAACTTCCTCCACTGGCTCTTGGACGGGTGCCTCTTCGCTTTCCACCACAGCAGGCACGGATTCAGCTTCAACGTGAGCCTCTTCAGCCACGGGAGCTGGAGGATGCGACACCTCAGACTGTGTCTCTACCTCAGCTGGAGAGTGCTCCTCAATCTCAGCTGGGACTGCGACTGGTGCTTCGACAACGGATGGCGTCTCAACCTCCTTCGGAGCTTCTGCTGTGATCTCATCGACATGAGAAGGCTTGGAGTCTTCAGTTACCTCGGAGGCGGCTTCGTGGACGGCCTCGACATCAGCAGGCTCCTCAACTTCAGCCGGGGCAACAACTTCGGGCACCTCATCCACATGCTTCTCTTCCTCGTGTACAGGTTCGGAAACAGTGGATTCAGTCGGCTGGTGCTCATGAGAGGGCTCCTGCTCAGCAGCGGCTTCAGATTCGGTAGCGACTTCAGATTCGGCAGCGACCTCAGCATAAGTGGCAACTTCAGGCTCGGCAACAACCTTCGGCTGAGGAGCGACCTCAGATTCAGCAGCAGCCTCAGATTCAGTGACTACCTCGGATGCAGTAGCAGGCTCAGAGTCGGCGACGACCTCAGCATAGGTTGCGACTTCAGTATCGGCCGGTGCAGCGTGTTCCTCGGTGGTAATTTCGCTTTCCATGGTTTCGGGCTTCTCCTGAGTCACGTCGGATGTGGGCTCGACAGCGGCGGCCTCCTCAGACTTTTTGGCATCCTCTGCAGGAGTCTCGACCTCAGAATGGGTAGCTTGAGCAACCTCTGACTCGTCCTTGGAGACTTCAGACTCGTTGACGTGAGCAACCTCTGACTCGTCCTTGGAGACTTCAGACTCGTTGACGTGAGCAACCTTTGACTCATCCTTGGAGACTTCAGACTCGTTGACGTGAGCAGCCTCTGATTCCTCCTTAGAGACCTCAGACTCGTTAAGATGAGCGACCTCTGACTCGTCCTTAGAAACTTCAGATTCGTTAAGTTGAGCAACCTCTGACTCATGCTTAGAAACTTCAGACTCAGTAGCCTCTGCGGCAGAAACAGAAGGTTCCTCAGAGACCACGGACTGCTCAACAGCGGGCTCCTCGTGAGAGGTTACCTCTGACTCAACATGCGTCTCTGCAGGCTTCTGAACGTCAGATTCGGGTTCAACTTCCTCAGCCTTAGCCTCAGCCGGAGCGGCTTCCTCTACGTGAGTGACCTCAGCCTCGGTAGCAGCCTCGTCTTTGTGGTCCTCAGAGCCATTGGCAGGAGCTTCAGTCTCGTGAGCTTCGACGGGCTCGTCGTGAACCTCTTCTTTGGCAGCTTCAGTGTCGTGAGTGTGCTCGGCTTCCTCGCCTTGGGGAGCAGGCTTGGCTTCCTCAGCATGGACCTCACTGACAGGCTCATGAGACTCAGTCACATTGATCTCGGGAGCCTCCTCGGCGGCAGTCTCCTTAACGGCCTCCGTCTCCTGAGGAGCTTCGACGTTGGCCTCGTCGGCTTTGGTCTCGGCCTCAGCAGCGGCAGTTTCGTGTTCAGTGACAGATTCTTTAGGTTTCTCTTCAGACACGGGAGTCTCCTCTTGGGCAGTGTTTGGTTCCTCAAGGGCGGATTTGGCGTCTGACTCGGGCTCGGCTGTCGATTTAGGAACCACTTCGGCTTCACGCTGAGTCTGTGCTTCTTCCTCGTGCTTTTCGGGCTCTGCGGTCTCTGGTGCTTTCTCTTCAGGGGCAGAAACCTCCTCGGTGGTGGAATCCTTGGCGACTTCTTCCGAGGCCTCGGCGGCGTTCACATCATGCTCTCCAGTTTCCTTGACAGGCTCTTCAGGGGCAGCTTCAGCAGCATGCTCTTCAACGACATGAGAGGTCTCTTCAGGGGCGGTCTCTGCGGCAGGCTCGGCAACCGGCTCTTCCTTGGTCTCGGGTTCGGCGTTGTTGTCTTCAGCCTCGACCTTCTCCTCGGAAGGCTTTTCTTCGGAGTGCTGTTCGTGCTCAACAGGCTTCTCTTCCTCGGCAGGCGCCACTTCAGAGTGCTGCTCCTCGGAGTGCTGCTCCTCAGCGGGCTTTGTCTCCTCCGAGTGGTGAACTTCTTCGTGAAGCTTCTCCTCTTCAGAAGACTTGTCCTCATGAGCAGGAGCAGCCTCTTCGGTAGGCTTAGCCTCTTCAGAGTGATGAGGTTCCTCGACAGGCTTCTCTGCCTCGACGGGCTTATCCTCCTCGGCAGTTTTATCCTCCTCGGCAGGCTTATCCTCCTCAGCAGGCTTCTGCTCGTTGGAGTGATGCTCTTCGGCAGGCTTCACCTCATCAGCAGGTTGAGCCTCCTCGGACGGCTCGTGCTCCACAGAGTGTTTCTCCTCTTCGTGAAGCTTCTCTTCCTCAACAGGCGCGGCCTCCTCCGAGGGCTTGCCCTCTTCGGCATGCTTGTCGTCGGAGGTGTTGGCTTCCTCGACATGCTTGTCCTCTTCCGAGTGATGCTCTTCGGCCTGGACCTCTGCATGGTTTTCCTCCGCCTTATCCGCCTCAGTCGACTCGGGAACCTGGATATTCTCCTTATGCTCTTCCGGTGCATGTGAATCTCCAGCCTCCTGATGTTCGGCCGGGTTCAAGGGCTCCTCAGTCGAGTTTTCAGCCTCAGCAGGTGCGGGGGTATCTTCCGTGTGAGCAGTCTCCTCAACCGGCTTCTCGTCGTGACCTGCCGCAGTCTCGTGAGACTCTTCGGCTAGGGCATTGTCGTGGACAGCAGGCACCGACTCTGGCTCCTTTGCAGACTCACTCTCCTGGGGAGCGTGCTCGTGCTCAAGCTCCTCAGCCTTGGGGGTCTGCTCATGCTCGTGCTGGTGCTGGTGCTCGTGCTCGTGCTCCTTAGCGGCTTCCGCCTCTGGTTCCGCGTGTTCGGGCTCTGCAGTGACAGCAGCTGATTCCTCGGTAGGCTTCACTTCTTCTTCAGCAGTGTTGGCCTCTTCTTGGTGAGCTTCTGCCTCCGGCTTTTCTTCTTCGGGAACGGGAGCAGGGTCGTGTGACTGCTCAGGCTCAGCCGCCTTGTCGTCCTTGGGCGCTTCGACAACAGTCTCAGCCTCTGGGACTGCAGTCTCGGCCTCGGCGTTCTCCTCAGCAACTGGCGTAGCCTCGTCCTCACCTCTTCCCTCGTCTGTGGCCGGCGGCGACGGGGGCTGGGCGGGGTCGAGAGCGCCATCAGAGGCGACATCTGTCTCGGAGTTCTTGGGGCTGCTCTTCTTCTTCTTCTTTTTCTTCTTCTTGTCCTTCTTCACCTCGTCTTCGGCTACCACATTTGACTCCTCGGGAGGGGGGGTAACTGTGGTGTCTTGCTCCGCTGGCTCGGCGGTTTCTGCCCCCTCCGCCTTGATCTCAGCTGCGGCGACGCTGTCGGTGGAGTCTATCGGCGAGGTTATCTGGCTCTCGCTCTTGTTGTTCTTCTTCTTCTTCTTTTTCTTCTTGTTCTTGGAAGAAGTGGGCTCCGCCGCGACCTCTCCCTCTACCTCGGCATCTTCAGGCTGGTCCTCGGCCGCAGCCGACTCTTGGGGGGCGTCATTCTCTGCCGCATAAGTTAGCATTTGGAAGCCTTGTAGAGCAACGCGCTCCAGAGGATTGTCGCCAGCGTACCTTTGTTGTCTAATGACACCTTGGACCCCACCTCGGAGTCATTCTTTTCGAAGTACTGCACGTTGGAAAAGTCAGAGAACTGCACATTGGACAAGTCTATGTTCGTCCTGACAGGACAGAATTCAACTTCCTGGGCGGTGGTCATACTTCCTTTGCCCTGTCGACCTCTGAGACCGCAAACTCTTCGGGCTGGGCGAGTTGGGGCACGGCGTTATTATCGACCTCCATACAAGCTGCACTGTGATCAGACTTGTCCGACAGATGCAGGTGAAGAGCGCCAATGAGGAAAACGGCCGCTCTCTTGGGCCTTGGCGCTTGAGGACACGGATGTCTGTGGCTGCTTGAAAACGAATGTAGCAGCCTATCGGGTACGAATGATGACGGGATTCAGAGTGTAGTTTGTTATGTACGATGCAGGAGGTTTTTTTTTTTTTTTTTTCCTCTCTAAAACCTGCGAACAGGTGGGAAGTCAGTAAAGCCTTTGAGATGACACCACTTGGAGCCTTGTTTTCCTCGAGCTGCATGGGTCCATCGAAAAAAAGCACGTCCCATGTCAAAATCACACCCACGGCCGTCCACAAGCGAACCAGAGAGGATTGACGATGCGGAGTCCACAGGCCAAGAAGACGCACAATTCCGGGTCCAGAAACCCCTCCCCATGCAACAGAGATCAGTTATCCACACGCGGGCTCGAGAGCAGTCATGAGAGGGGTCCAATTGGCAGGACGAGGTCATCCTCGCCCGCCGCGCCGCTCCGCGATTGGACTCAGCATGGCGGCCTCGTCGCCAGCCGGCCGCATGTGCGGGTTGAGACATGACTTGGAAGCGCACTGGCTGACAGGACGGTGGTGGTACTGGGTAGCTGCCCGACGCAACGAGAATGGAACATGCATGGTGAACCAACGAAAAGTGGGAGCGAGCGTGGCCGGGCAAATCACAGCGGCCAGCCAAGAGCAATCATGAGCAGGCGGCCAGATGAGCTGGCTAGCAGTGGGCCGAGTGGCTCCAGCTTGTGAGCGATATCAACAAGCGCCCACCGTGCAGCTCCTAGCGCCTGTGAATGCGTCCGCGAAAGGCTGGATGGACGTCTGGGATGCATGCCGTGACTGGCCTCGCTCTCCAGCCGTGCTACGTGGCTCGCCTCTCGATGCCCCGCGGTTGTTCCCATGCAGCGAGACCCCGGGATCTGTCGGCATTGGGACATTTTGCGTCAATTATCTGGGAAGATGATTGCTGGGTGGCCGAGTGCTCGTATCTTATCGAGTCTCTCTCTCTCTCTTCGCTTTGGCGAGGCCGGTAATGACTTGCTTCCAGAGGGCATGACTTGCAGAGAGTCCCCCTCCCCCCCTGGATATGTCCTTTTCTCGAACGAGAAGGATACTGTGACATAGCATTGGAAACAGAAGAGAATTCGCACCACTTACTAGCCGTCAAGCCACCCCGAAGCCACTTCGAGTGCGCTGCCCGTCTTGGAGAGGCTGGGTCCCTTCTGGCCAACCGGTGCGGCGGCAATGGAGCCACAGCCGACACTTGACAGGGATTGTTTCGGTGGGAGAAAATTCTTAGAGCTATGGCCAGGTTTTGCCAGGGTCTTGTCGAGATGGCTGCTGCGAGCGAAGAATATCAGCCGACTGTCACACCAAACAAGCAGTCCAGGTAATATGTACATACCTGGCGAAAGAAAGACCACGCACACACAGTCAGTGTACGGCACGATGTCAGTAGAGGGAAAATTCTGCCGTCGCGACAGCTGTTGCCACTGGCTTCATGCGCGGAAAAGGGGAGCTCGGGCTAATAGTATTCTCCTCTTGCTCTCGCGCTCTCTTTGTTCTCGTTCCCTGTCGTGTCTCAAGCAGAGGTGCGCTATCATGCAAGGTGTGCTAATAACGGCAATGTGAAAAAATTTAGTGGCTTTTCTGCAGTTAGGCGGTGTGGTTTGATGGTGGTTGAGCCGGAAGGAAAGAGTGGGGGAAAGCTCTTGAAGCGCCAATCCTCCGAGGCAGTTTGCAAAGCACACGTGAGATGCTTTATTGCCGCGTAATTTTTTCTCTGGATGGCCTTTTTTTCACACACGCCTCTTGCGTCTATTTGATGTCTGGTGGTACTATGTAGTATTAGTATGTGTTGTTTCTCGAATGTTTTCCTTGCTTTATTGCCTCTCTTGGCGCGGCAGTGACATAATGGTGGGGATTGAAGCTCACATGAGGCACGAGATTCCATCAGTCACTCACCCATGCCTCTGCTCTGCTTCGCCGGCGATACGACCACGGCTGCCCATCAACCGTGCAATCATATGTGTGACTACGCCAAAGAGCATCATCCATTCACATACATACTTATCCATCAAGGGAGGCGGGCAGCATCACTCCGTCACGGATCATGCATTCAACACCCACCAGCCATCGCTTTATCATGCGTGGTATTGCCACGCCCTTGTACACCACCACCATTACATTACACCTATGTAAATGCTCACGGCTGCAAGAGTACCACCATCCAACCACCCGCACTCACAGTAATGGCTTGCAGAAGACATTCCCAGCCTCCTGTAAGCTTAGGCCCATTGCGGCACCCAGCCTCTCTGTGCGGCAGACCGTTCACCCAACCCCTCTACTTATCATGTACTGCCCTTCACATGCGCACATCTTCGAACGAATACCTAAGGTAGGTAGGCAGTAGTCATAGTTGTGTGTCCGATGTCTCGCGTACGAGTAAGTTCTGTGCATACATCTCAGAACGTAGCACTGCATGACGTGAGATAGTACTTTCAAGGCGGTTGGAAAAACTATTACGAGTAGTCTTGTTGAAAGGGAAGAAAGAGATGGTGGCCACCAAACAAACGCTCCCCGATGATCGGTGAGCACAACCTCGTCGAATACCTTGCGGAGAAACGGGAAAGAAATCGGGCGTCTACGTCTAAGATGCCATGTATGTGCAACACAACACGGGGGGGCTGACTGCACGTACGACTTGGCCAGTTGGCCGTCCGTAAAATCCAGGGAATAATTCGCCACCAAAACCCCCCTGGTATCAAGCGTAATACAGTCATGTGCCGAGAAAGTCATGTATAGACAATCCTCTAGAGATGGGTTTCATCCGAATGCCACTCTCCATCACTGCCTCCAGCCATGGTGATTAACGGCAGCACGGCGTGTTGCCGTGTTGATAGTGGCATGTTCCCGTCCTCGCTGTTCACTGCAGCCAGATGGGAGGCACGCACAGCAAGCAGATAGGGAGCAGACGTCGCGCAAGAATTAGATTAATTCATCATTTTCAGCTTTTCAGCAGCCCCTAACTTGAAACACAACTCTGCAATTTTTGGTATCTTGTCATGTCATACTCTACAGATCCTCTTGTATAAGCCCCTCATTATCGTACCATCCATCATCAAGTGTTGTATTGTGGCAATCTCATCAAGCAGAAACAGAAGGGGGGGAGGAGATAAAGGAGATTCGCCGCCCATTCACATCGTCATCCACGCGTCCGAATCATACCTCTAGGATGCCTTGGCCGCGTTGTCCGTTGCGCTCGGGGCGTAAGCAGCCTGAGCTCGGTTCTTCTTGATGACCTCCTTGACTCGTTCCTCGGCTTCGTCCCAGTCGTCGGTGTCGAGGCGAACCAGATCAATGCCGTAGGTGTTGGCAATGCTGCTGAGGGCATCATAGCTCTTCTTGTCGTAAACGAAGCTGATACTGACACCGACACGACCGAAACGTCCGGTTCGGCCGATACGGTGGAGGTATGTCTCGGCGTCCGGCTCAGAATCGCCGCGGCCCTTCATCGGGATGTCGTAGTTGATAACCATGGAGACGGTCGACACGTCAATACCACGGGCGAGAACGTTGGTGGTGATGAGAACCTTGTTTTCGCCATTTCGGAACTTGGCCAGCAGCTCATCTCTTTCGTTGCCGTCAAAGGCGGCGTGCAGAGCGGATACTTTGTGTCCGTCAGCCACCATGCGTCTCTGGATCTCGTTGGCGCTTTCACGAGTCTACTCAATGTGTCAGCGTTGCTCTGTCGCAATTAGAGTGTCGGCCTTCCTCAAGACATACCTTGACAAAAATGACCGACTGGCCAATGGTCATCAGGCCGTAGAGCTTGCACAGAACGTCGTACTTGATGTTGTCGTCGGCACAGTCAATGAACATTTGCGAGATACCCTTGACCGTAAGTTCGTTGCGCTGGAGCTTGAGTGAGTGGGCATTCGGCGCAAACTTCTGCGCATAGGCGCCAACTTTGTCGGGGAAAGTGGCGGAGAAGAGAAGGATCTGGATGGATTTGGGCAGCATGCTACATCCGCAGGTTAGCCATCTTGGTCATCTACACCTGAGCCTCTAGGGAGCTTACTTCTTGACTCGCAAGCACTGGTCGCCCATGCCCTGTTGATCCAACATGTTGTCGGCCTCATCCAAGACGAGAACCCTGAGTTGGGAGACATCCAACTGTCGGCGTCGAATGATATCCATCACGGTACCTGGTGTTCCAACAATAACGGCCGATCGAACTGGCTGATCGCGAGGGAGGGCACCTGGAATTGCCGCGGCAACTTTAAGGGGCTTGATAAAGCGACCAATAGCCTTGATGACGCCTTCAATCTGACGAGCCAGCTCACGACTGGGAGCCAGAGCCAGAGCTTGCGGCTGCTCAGGGTTGCTGAAGTCGACGCGCGACAGAATGGCAGTAACAAACGCCGCCGTCTTCCCTGTTCCAGATTGCGATTGGGCCATCATATTTCTCGGAGGGTCGCTAAGCATCAGGGGGAGAGACTTTCCCTGCACTTTTGAAGGTTTCAGGAACTTGAGGGCTAGAAGGCCTTTGAGCAGGTCCTCGGAACTATGCGCAGCCAGGTAGTTAGATAGATGCCATCAGTGATATGCAGCCAACCAATTCTTACAGTCCCATGTCCTCCCATCGCGTGGCAGAGTGGAAGGGCGTCGCCTCGTTGTTCTGGAGGTCGCTGAGGGAAACCTCAACATCCCATTCGGGCTCCTGCAGGCCAGAGCCACCCAGCTCCTCAATGGCGCCGTCGTTCTGTGCCTCGGCGACGGGAGCTTCAGCTTCGGGCTGCTTCTCAGCCGGAGCCGCCTCGTCAGGCTTCGTGATACGACTGGCGAGATCAGACATTTTGGAGGCGTGTGACTGATTGGTAAATGATCGGATTCGTCAAGTCAAGAAGGGCACAAGTGCGCAGAATAAGGAAAGACGCTGGAGACAGTCTGCCTGCAACTGTCTGCAACTGCTTTATATAGGGATGAGAGAGAGGGAAACCGAAGAGAAAATCGTGCCCTGACGCGCCAGAAGAGTTGTCAAGATAGAGTTCAAGGCTCCAAAGTTGAAAGCCGATAACTTGCAGTTCAACGAAGGACGAGAGTTTTAGTGGGGTTAGTTGGAGGGGTGGTCTGCAGCTTGAGCTAACCTGAAGGTACCAACTCGCTAGCAGGGGTGACGCGGCTGTGCCGGGGTTTCTCCGGACTGCGCCATAGCTCTTCAGCCACTGATTGTTCGCAAGGAGATAAGGGACGTCCAATCAATCGCGCCTTGTTCAAGCTCACTGCTCTTTATTCTGCCTTACATCACCTTACCTTAGATATTGTGTCAAATCGACTATCGACTCTAGAGTTGATTTCTTTATTGAGTCAATCATTGGGCATAACGTCTCACATGCTACAGTACGAACTATAAGAACAAGTAGCCTTCGTTAAAGGCGACAACATGGCGGCTCCTCCACCGCGAGGCCTCTCCCTCTACGACAACCTACACGATCCCAACGATCCGTCACCCTCAGCGACAATCTCCTCCGCGCCAGTGACCTACCAGCAAGGCGGATCAACAGCCGGCGACCAAGCAGCCAAGAAGCTGCTCAATCCCGCGCTCCAGTTCCAACCCATACGACGTCCGCAAGTGAAGCAGCCCAAAGCGAAGACGACATTCCCAAAGGCCATCCCCAGACCCGCGCCCGCCGCAGCCTCAGCGGCAGCTACCCCAGCAGCAGCCACTGGAGCTGCGCAATCAATACCGCATCAGAGCACGCTTGCCGATTGGGCAGTGACGGAGGAAGATGAGTGGATGTACGGCATCGGAGAGAAGCGCCAGCGCGGCGGCCGCAAGAAGAAGAAGAAGCGACAGGAGCAGTTCGAGACGGATTGGGACGAGATGTACGACCCGACGAGGCCGACAAACGTGGACGAGTTTCTCAAGAGCGACGAGAAGGTGGAGGAGGTGAGAGAGTGGAAGGCGTTGCTATACCGGCATCGCAAGAAGCACGAAGACAGCGACATGTCAGACTCGGAAGAAGAGGCAGCACCACCTCCAAGTAAGCTCTCTTCCTCCTCTCATGGCCCTCCAGAGGGGAGCAAAACTAACATGTGTTCCAGAACAATTCGCTCCGCCAGCTTCATACTCGTTTGCGCCACCTCCACGATCTCCTCCAGCCGCTCCAGCCCCGGACGAAACTGCAGACGATGCCTATGCCCGTCGTCTAGCCCTCTCGACAGGCCAACAACATCCTGCTCCTCCTCCACCTCCACCACCACCTCAGACCTCCGAATCATCACAACCTCCCCCTCCACCTCCGCCCTCAGAACCCGGCACAATATCCAAAGCCCCCATCCGCTACACCCAAACCTCACAACCATCCGACAACCCCAACAATGACGACAACGACAACGACGCAGGCTACTCCCCACCACCAACCTTCTCCCAAACCAACCAAGACACCCACAACACCCTCGAAATAGATTCCCAGCAGCAACAGCAACAACAACAACAACGCACCAACCGCCCCGGCCAAGCCGGCTTCGCCCACCGCCTCATGACAAAATACGGCTGGACAAAGGGCACCGCCCTCGGCGCCAACGAATCAGGCATCCTCAACCCCCTGCGCGTGCAAGTCGAGAAGCGCCGCAAGAGGGCCGACGCCGACGGCGGCGGCTGGGCCGAGCCCGCCAACAAGGCCAAGATCATTGGCGGCAACAGCAGCAGCCGGCACAAGAAGAACGACGCCAGCAAGTTCGGCCCCATGAGCGAGGTCATTGTCCTGCGCCACATGCTCGACAACATGCCCGACCTCGAGGCCGAGATTGAGGACGGCCTGGGGCAGGAGATTGGCGGGGAGTGCGGCGAGAAGGTAAACTTTTTTGACAAGACACGAATCTTCTTTTCTTTCCGTTTGAGAATCGTTGTGCTGATGGATCTGCGTTGTGTAGTATGGACGAGTCGAGAGACTGTACATTGACGTGGAGACTCGTCAGGTCTTCATCAAGTTCACGGATCAGGTGTCCGCCTTGCGAGTAAGTCGTAGCATACAGTGATCACATGATACATATCACCACAAACAGCTCAAATGGTTCCTTGCTAACTGGCAGCAGGCAGTCAATGAGCTAGACGGTCGTGTTTTCAACGGCAACAACATCATCCCCAAGTTTTACGATACCGAAAGATTTGAAAGGGGCATATACGTCGATACGACAAGTTAGGTAGCGTGATATTTCGGCATCTAGGCATCGTGAACGGCTACACTGTCTCGCCATACGTAGGCATACAACAGTATACAATTCATCAGATAGGCAGGGATGTTGGTTAGGTAAACAAGAGGCAAAAAGTGGTATAAAGTACCCTAAGTCTAACATACACCAACACCAGTAAAGAAAGTCTAAAGAAAGGTGCAAATCGTGATAGAATAATCACCAATAACCGTTCACACGTAAAATCTTTGCCCATCTCCAGCACGACAGCGCCAAGGCATCTTGTCACCGGCATATACTCGTGACGCAACACACAGCAAATAGTTGGTTGCCCGAGTATATCCACCAGCACTGTTGCCGACGCAAAGCCGCCATGCAGCTTGCGCGCCGTACATCATGTCGAGCTTGTCGATAGGAAAAGGGGGGGGGAGCGTGGCGACATTGTGAAGTACATTTCCATTATTAAGTCTAGCGTTAGTGCCGCGAACACACATAAAGGGGGGCGGTCACACGTAAGTTGACAGCCAAGGCGTGGGAGAGGTTGACGAAACCACAATGTGTTGGCTAAAAAGAAAACAGAAAACAGCTGGGAGAACAGAGATTGACGCCAAATTCCGACCCATCGTCCCTCCGAAAGATTTTTACCACAGCTGGGCCATGCCAGCGAGAACGGACGCGCCGAGGAGCATGTTGTTGACGCTGAGGGCGGCGACGGCGTTGTCAGTGTCGTTACCGCTGCTGCCGTTCTTTCCGCTAGAAGTGCTGGAGTCACCGTCGCTACCTCCCTCATTGGCGGCCTTAACGTTGCTCTTGCAGGACTCCTGACCCTGGATAATCTTCTTAGACTTAGCATTGTTGAAGAAGCCGCAGAAAGCAGAAATGTCGGTGGTAGAGTAGACGGTAACACCACCCTTGACGTCCTTGAGGCTGGGAAGCTCGACACTGTGGAGAGGATTAGGGTTAGCAATGGAGAACACAAGTCTGAAGAGGGACACTTGTACTCACGTGTCAAAGTTGCCGCGGAGGATAACACCACCGGCAACAGTCTCCAGCTTGGGGAAACCCTCGATGGCATCCATAGCAGTGTTGTTCTGGATGGTCAGGTCACCAACAGACGTCAGGAGAGGGAAAGAGACGTTGGTGAGCTTGTTGTTGTTGATGAAGGTGACACTGTCGCCGATTTTGGTGACGTTCTTGGCGCTGAAGGTCTTGAGCGAAGGGTTGGTATCAAACTTGAGGGACTGGCTGATGGTCTTGAGGCTGGGCACGAGGAAGCTCTTGACGTTAGAGAGCTGGATCTCGGCAGCAGACTGAAGCTTGGTCATGTTGATCTCCATGTTGTTTCCGTTGCTGGAAACACTCAGAAGCTTGGTGATGTTGACCAGGTCAGAGTTGAAGGCCGTCAGCTTGTTGTTGTTGGTAATGGTCAGGGTGTCGACACTGTTAATGTTGAGACCGCTCAGATCACTGAGGAATGTGTCGGTGATCTGGATGGAGGAGGCCTTGGTCACACCGGTGGTGCCAAAAATCAGGGAGTTGAGCTGAGGCAGCTTGACCATGTTGAGCTCGTTCAGGGTCTTGAGCGCCTGCATGTTAACGGAGCTCAGGAGCTCCAGGCTGTCAAGCTGGAACTTGCCGGTGATGGCGTTGATGGTATTGCTCTGGATGGAGATGAGCTGGGTGGCGTTGTTGACGATCAAGTCACCCTTGATCTGCTTGGGTCCGTTGAGGATCAGGTCACCGGCAACCGACTCGTCGACGATAATGTCGGCATTGACGACCTCGCAAGAGATGACGGGGTTAGGAGTGGTGACCTTGATCTCCTTGGAGCAGGAATCGGCAGCTGTAGTCGGGTCAGCAGGTTGTCGTCGCCTCATGCATGGCGGAAAGGGTCTTACCAGACACCAGGCTGGCAGCACCAGCGGCCAAGATGGCTGAGAAAAGCTTGGAGGAATGCATTCTGATCTGGACAAGGAAATGTCAGCAACAGTATGGCAAAAACGCGTCAAACAAGGTAAGCGAAAATGTGAAGGCGACTGGGTGCTGCGATCCTGGGCTCGGTGCTCTGTCTGCTTGCTTCATTAAGGGGGGGTTTTCTGACTGTGGCGTTTAAACTATGCAGCCGGTCCTAAAGGCACGAGTCGAGGCAAAAAAAGATGTTGACGGGAATCAGATCTCGGTCACTCAGAAGATGGCCCAGACGTGTAAAGATTCCCCCCTTCGGGTCTGCGCCTGGCGAGTCCGGGAAGGAATGGCGTCGATTGTGGCTCGAGAGTAAGAGCGCGTTTGAGACTGAGAGAGCAGAGAAGAGGGCGAGCGCAATCGCAACCGGAGGACCAGCAGGAAGCTTCCTTTAGGCGGGCGCAAATCGAAGCTGGAGCCGGCAAATGCAGATTCGGGCGTGTGAAGCGGCAGAGCAAGAGCAGGTGAAAGTTTGCAGCGCGCCCAGGTGAAGCGGAGGACGAGGGAGAGGAGCAGCGAGGCAAGGCGCACGTCACAGGCCAAGCGAAACCAGGAGAACTCACACACCTTGTAGCAGTCGATCTTTTTCCTTGACGCGAGAAAAAAATATGGAAACGTTCCTTGGGCAACGGGCTAGAGATGTCTCGAAATGATGGTGGTCAAGATAGTGGCTATTGGCTGGCCGCGAGTCTGGAGTTGGACGGGAATGGATGAAGATTGGGGAGGGGAGTAAAATAAAGAAGCTATAGCGCAAACTTGCTTTGGCCTGTAACGAGCGGCAGGAAGTGAAGAAGGAGGACGACGACGACGAGACGACGGCAGCAGTCAACGAGAGAGAGAGAGAGGGCAGAAGGCGAGGAAGAAGGAGAGAAAAGGGAAGAAGAATCCTGTTCCTGGGACGAAACCAGGCGGCACCCCCTGCTGCGCGAGAGCTGCCGCGTGCACCAATGGCAGGCCGCAGGCAGGGCCGGCCAGGGGGGACGCAGGCCCCAAGGCTCCCCTGGGAATGGAGCTCTAGGGGGTGTGGGTGGGACGGGCGACCGCTGCAAAGGGCACGCCGACCCACCGGGCCTCGACTCGATAATTTGCCCTTTGATGAGGCCTGTGCCGTGACATGCGGCGAGAGTTATTGTGTCTCTCCTGGTTTGATGAGGGACGGAAACAACATGGCAGAGGCACGCAGAACAAACAATTGATGGAGACGGCGGCCGAGCGATGGCTGGACGTGGCGCACGACCTGTCTGGGGAAATGCGAATGTACGCATACAGTACATGGACTGACTACAGCTGAAGAGGCCGTGCCTGATATTGCCGTTCTCGTCCGGTACCTACCTTACCTCTGGGTGTTCTCGTACTCCGTGCACGGGCTTGCGCGGCATACGGAGCTTCGAACAGTGCATCACGATTTCCAGTTGTGCTCCGTCTTTACCTGGCGAGGCAATGCGAATGGTACTGTACATGTGTAAGAGAATGAATCCAGTGACATGATGAGAATCCTCTGTGCTTCAGACTCAATTGCTTCAGGTTCTTCCTCATCTGCTCTCTGTCCAAGAGGGTATGTACCTCTACAGCTTCCCCCCCAATTGACTCGCAGCTTCGCTCCGCTGCCCGTCTCGGAGCTGCGCGCAGCTTCACTAAACCGGTCGGGCAGGTCCAAGTGATTAATGTCAATCAAAACCCGAGCACAGAAACGGACTCGCTGTAATAACCTGTACCTACCGCCAGGTAATAAGGTACGGACACCGGTGTCTGTACGGGGGACTCCACGGCCATGGGTTCGATACAAGCTCCGCCTGCTAATGTAGGTACGGCGTTCCCGCATGCGTCCAAGTACTGGCGGCGACCGCCAAGGTACCCGGAACCTTGAACAATGACGCCCCGGCAATAAGATTCTCACCTCGGGAGGCCTGGCTGAGCCCGCCTTGGCCGCTCGTGCAAATCGAACAATCCGTGGGCCAGTCGTACATGTACGAAGTACCTGCAATTTGGCGTTACGATGTAGTACCTTACTTCCGTCCCCCTTCTCCTTCTTCGTGTTCTTCTTCTTCAGCCTCGTGTTGCAGCGTCAAGACTCACACCATCACAGACAATCGGGGCTGCAGCAACTGCGCATCACAACGGCATCACGCCGGCATTCACACTGTCCAGCGCATCGCTGATCCCCTCATGCGCTTTGCTTGAGATGCCGTCAATCCCATCACCACGACGTCGCCATGCAGATCGTATCGCGCGCGCCACTCCAACCTCGCGTCCAAGCTAGACAGCTAGAGCAAGCCACTAGCTGAGCTGGGACGGCGATTTCCTGCCTCCTCGGCTCCGTCATGGAAACCATGCGCAAGCTAACAGCAATTGAATTTGCGTAGCTCCTGGGATTGACTGCTGCTCTCTGGAGCCGGTTCATTGTGCAAGTTGGTTAGGTGTTTACGAAGCGCGCATTTCACGGAGAGCTTCCATGTGCAAGTACCGATTGCAGCACCAAAGTAATACTACTACATAGTACGAGTATCACGAGGAAGAATACATGCCCCCCCTTGCCCGGCTGGCCTCAGGTTGTCCTACCTGGCCTGGCAACCTGGCCACTCATTGCTTGCAGCCGGATTCGCGGCCGCGCATTGCCTTGGATAACCAGGCTTGCCGCCTCCTTTTCTTGTCACTCCCTTGGCCAATAATTAGCAAGATGAGCTGGAGCGCATGGACGAGGGTTCTCAAACACTACCGAGGAGTCCCGCAGGAAGTCCCGTCAGCCTGGCAGCAATTCACTTTCGGACCAGGACGATGGTTTCGACCCGTCGGCGGCCTATTTTGCTCTCCATAATAATCAAGCCGGAGCGCAGAGTCCGAACCACTTGGACGATAATACTGGCTACTAAGCTGGCGACGGCATCCAACTCCCCTTTTTTTCTTCGTGACGGGGCGCATATGGCAAGTTTGTTTCAGCGGTTCGCGGTCCATTTTGCCGCCTCTCTGTTTCCCTCGACAGCGGCCCCACGGCAACGCCGGCCGGTTGGCGATGCCGACCATGACGAGCACGATTCTTGCATTGACGCACTGGCCCGTGGGAGGTCTCTTGGAATCGTCGTGGCCTCTTGGCGCGGCGGGTGTGCCACACCTCTCTTCTGCCGACGCTCCAATAGTGTTCGATCCGAATCATACAAAATGCGATACGAGAAGTTTAACCTCTCGACTACTAGATGCGCATTGGGTCCATAGTAATCGACATCAAAAGTGCGATGAAGATCTCGATGGCCAAGTTGGCAATGACTTATTATTAGAGCATGCCCATTTATATCAGTTGACTTCGCTTCGAGATGCGATAACGATCTATCCCAACCATTACTAGCGACAGCAACCCTACCTAATACTTATGGACAAAGCAAGACGGGACCCGTCCGTACTCCGTCCCAGTTATCACTGAGTGGCTGCAGGAGTGATGTTATGACACAGCGAGCTAAAGCACACACTGCTGCGAGCAACCTTCTTTTGTGATTGTGCGACCCAACGATGAAGTCAAGCTTGCATTCAGTCTTATCACCCATCTGTTACACTGCTGGTCAAAGATGGCAACGTCTTACAGCGGATCAACTTCATGAATCTACACCAGTCAACCACATCATATGCACGGTGCTCGAGATCCATACTAACGCTCATCCTTCTAGCATTTCTCGATACCGGGAACGAAATAATACCCTTGGTTAAAGCATCAGCTTCTTCACTTGGGTTGGGTATCTAGAGGTGGAGCTGAGATGCGGTCTCCTTAAGCTCCTTGTCTTCATGTGAGACGGCTGCACGTGTCATCCGCGCCGAGCCGTGATGCTCAACGTTGAAAACAAACTTTTTGGCTTCCGGATAGGAAACCTACATAATTCTTCTGTGACGCACGACGGTGACGGATGTCATGGGTGAGACACATGGGCGTACCTGTGTAGGCTATCGGACAGACTACATGGACAGATTGAGGCTGCATCCAGGTAGTATCGAGAACTCGTTCAATGACATTACATGGTCACAAACACCCACTACTCCAGAGTACTGATATCCGTCTCCTCCACCCTCCACATGTACCACATGAAAACACTCCGGTACGGGCTGAACTTGTCAGACAGTTCCACCATGTCCTGCTCCGACATGTACTTCCACTTGCCTCCCTTGTTCTTGAGCTTGGCCACGTCCCGGCCGACAAAGGCCGCCATGCCCCTCTGCACGCCCAGGTCGCCCAGCGAGAAGACGTCCATCCGCTTGAGCGCGAAGCAGGCAAACATCTCGACGGACCACTTGCCCAGCCCGCGCACCGCGATGAGCCTCTCCATGAGCTCCTCGTCCGGCGCGTCGTGCAGCATCTGCGCCGTGATCTCCCCGCTGGCGAACTTCTCGGCCAGGCCCTGCACGTACTCGGCCTTGCGCTGCGAAAGGCCCGCGGTGCGCAGCCGCTCGATGGAGCATGCGGCGACTTCGGACGGCGTGGGGAAGATCCGCTCGGCGGGAGAGTCGCCGCCGCCGTCGTTGACGGGCGGCACGGGCACGGTCTGGCCCTCGGGGAAGAAGAGACCGATAAACTTGTTCTTGATGGACTTGGCCGCCGCGCCGGAGACTTGCTGCGATATGATGCTGCTCACCAGGCTCTCGAACGGGTCAATCTTCTCCGCCAGCCCCTCGGCGGAAAAGACGTGGCAATGGTGCTTCTCGATCAGCGGCCGCATGCGCTCGTCTACCTTGATGAGATGATCGCACGCCTCCTTCAGGATCGTTGCCGTTGTCGTCGTCGTCGTCCGGACGCCAATGGACGGCGCTTTTGAAGGCGACACCGCTTCCACATTGCGCGACGCAATGACCCGCGACGTCTCCGGCGACAGCAGCGTGGCATTGGAAAACTTGGGGTCCGCGAGGCGGGTGACGGACTTGTGAGCGGTGCCTTTGGTCCCGTTGAGCGGCAGGGCGCTGGTGGTGGGCGTCAGGGGGGGAGCAAATGGGCACTGCTTCTTGGTTGGCGTTTTGGGCGCCGAGGGCTCAGGTTCCGGGACCGATTTTCTTTTCCGCGTGTTCTGCTTTGGAGGAGGAGGAGCTGCGGAGGCAGCATCGCCATCTATGGAGGTGACATCTGGCGTCTTGGTGGAAGTCTTTGTGATCTTTGTAGCCTTTGCAGTTTTGGCACTCTTCGGTGCAGTCTTCGTAACGGGCTTTGTAGCAGCCTTTGCAGCTTCGGCGGCATCCTGAGTGCTCGCTCTGCTGCTGATGCGCGCAGATCGCCGTGTGGCCGCCATGGCTGTGTATGTGCTGAAGTATGGTGTTGAGGCTAGTGAAGATGTCGATGGTCTGTATGCGGCAGCCAGGGATCTTGCGAGGCTGACGGGATGTCGCATTCGCTACTCTGTCCAGGGGCCCAGAGACTGGTTGGACACTGATTGTCGCAAGAAAGAGAAGCTCTGAAGTCTATTATCGCGAGTTAATGCATGGATGGAGATGCAGTAGAACCCGTTCGACTGTGTCTTGTTGGTCTTGCGATCTGCGGTCGGTTTGTCATCACAGGTTAAGCACAAAGTACCAGCGTGCAAAGCAACACGGCAAATAGGTGGCAACTTTCACGGAGTGACTTGGGCAGCAGTGAGGAGAGTCGGCCGGTGAAGGCACTGCGACCTGCGGTCCTCTTTATAGTCAAGAAGCAGAGATAACACAACGTCGAAATAACGTTAGAGTTGACCTCAACTGGGCAAGATGTCCATGAACAAAGTTGTCGACTGGGTCATTGGACCCCCATTCTTGGTCCTTCGTGAGATCCGATTTGCTCCCCGTCATCTTGCGGAGCGGGATTCCGCAGGCTTACTTTTGCTGGGATGGAGGGATGGTCACCATGCCATATATCCACCCGATTGAACATCCATCACAAAGTGATTGTTGAAGTTAAGAGAATTCAGTTGATTCAGCCCGAGGCGAATGATTCAAACCGCCACAGAGACAGTCTACAGGATAGTGCATCTGTCAAGTTTCTGACTGCGTTGGTCCGTAATTTCACGTCTCTGCAGGGTAGCATCTAGCATGGTCTGGACTCTGGACTTTGTCTTCACCTCCTGATTAGCGCGCCTCGATTGACACAAGGATCCGGTGCCTCGACTCGGGTGTCGCTAACGCGCAACATCCTGGGTACCAGCGGCAGCCACTTGCGCGCCGCGCTGCAGCCAGAATGTGAAGGTATCGTGCATGTATCCGTTCCTTATAGGATATTGCCTGCACTGCCCAATTGGAACGGGTTAAACTTTTCATCAGGAACAGCAAATGTGGCCTGGGACGCTAAGATACGGGACGGAGCAGCCTATCTCCAGTCTCCAGTCTCCCGCCGACTGCTCCCCCTACTTTGTCCTGTCCTGTCCCGTCCTGCCCTGCCCTGTCCAGCAGCCTCTCGTCAATACTAAGTACAGTACGGTATATACAACGCTGGCTCCGTGTCGTGCTGGGCTGCTACCGTAAGGTATTCTCTGGCCTGACCCCAGGTGTCGCCTCCACTCTCGTTTACAGGCCCTCTTCTTCTTTTCTTGGCTTCTTCCTTGGTTCAGCCTCCTCCGCAACCCCGTCGACCGTCTTCGAGTCCTTCCGTGTCATCCCCGAAGCCTGCGGTCGGTTGAGCGAGATACGAACCGACGGATCCCGCCCTTGAGCGCCAATTGCGACGGCAACTGCATACTGGGTATATATCTATATCGAGGCGCGCGTTGAGAGGCCATCATGCTGCTCCCCAAGGGCGGACTGGACTGGAGGTCGGCGAGGGCGCAGATCCCTCCGACGAGAGCACTATGGAACGCCGTGACGCGCACACGATTCATACTGCTGGTTGGCATCACAGGACTCATCCTGCTGCTATGGCGCGGCGTGTCCACTTCGGCATCTGAGATGCAGAGGTAAGCAGCTGAATGCGGACTCCGCTGGATTGCGCGCAGCAACTGATGCCACATAGCTTCTACTGCTGGGGCCCGGCCAAGCCACCCATGGAGATGTCACCGAACGAGCATAACCGGTGGAACGGACACCTGCAGACGCCAGTCATCTTCAACCACCATGCCCCTGTCGAAGTCAATTCGAGCACAATCGAGCACGTCGACCTCAACCCGATCAATTCGACCAAGCAAGCCGTCACCAAGGAGGAAAGGATACTCATCCTGACGCCGCTGAAGGATGCCGCGCCGTATCTGTCAAAATACTTTGAGCTCCTCGCTGAACTGACATATCCTCATCGACTGATTGACTTGGCCTTCCTCGTCTCGGACTCTACAGACGACACCTTGGCCGTTCTCGCCTCCGAGCTGGATCGCATCCAGAAGCGACCCGATCAGATTCCCTTCCACAGCGCAACGGTCATTGAGAAGGATTTTGGATTCAAGCTCAGCCAGAACGTCGAAGAGAGACACTCGTTCGAGGCTCAGGGGCCCCGCCGAAAGGCCATGGGCAGGGCCAGGAACTACCTCCTCTACACTGCCCTGAAGCCTGAGCACTCCTGGGTCTACTGGCGCGATGTGGACATTGTGGACAGCCCTACCGGCATTCTCGAGGACTTTATTGCCCATGACCGAGACATTCTGGTTCCGAGTAAGCATGCTCAACCCTTGAGATCGAGAGGTTGTTGCTAACTTTATTGCCAAGACATTTGGTTCCACCGTTACCGTGACGGTGTGGATATCGAAGGCCGCTGTAAGTGATGCCCAGGCGCAAGAGACGACATTGACAAAGACGGTCGCTCACATAGAAATAGTTGATTACAACTCTTGGGTCGAGTCCGACAAGGGCCGCAAGCTGGCAAACAGCCTGGACAAGGATGTTGTTCTTGCTGAGGGTATGTAGCCCTGTTTGTGATGTCGATGTGCAGCGTGCTGACCACATGACGGCAGGTTACAAGCAGTACGATACTGGCCGCACGTACATGGCGAAGATGGGCGATTGGCGCGAGAACAAGGATGTGGAGCTTGAGCTCGACGGCATCGGCGGCGTCAACATTCTGGTCAAGGCAGACGTGCACCGCTCTGGTATGCTCTTGGAACCTGCCCTGCTGATGATCAGGTGGTGATGGCTAACAAATATGATCTTCTTCCCAGGCATTAATTTCCCTTGCTATGCCTTCGAGAACCAGGCCGAAACAGAAGGATTTGCCAAAATGGCCAAGCGTGCCGGCTACGAAGTCTATGGTCTTCCCAATTATGTTGTTTGGCACATCGACACCGAAGAGAAGGGCGGCAATGCCTAAACTCGACAGACGCCTTTTCCGATGGAACAACTTTTCGCTTCACCTGTCTCATATTTCGCGAACAGATTCGAATAATCGGTGTTGATATATCCGCAACGAGGCACTACTTATACGAAGACTAATGATGTTACACTTTTGCTGCGTGTCGGTCCACACGCTAGACACGACCGGCCTATGATATAGATATGCCGACAGAGGGACGATGGCGAGTCTGTCCTCTTGCAGGCTACTGGTGTATATTGCCTGCTTGTTCACGCTCTTGGTCATGACGAATTTTATCTGGGGGGGCCTTGGGCTTGTCGGTTCTAGGTGGAAACCTTTGGCGAGCATGCCCTTCCTTTCGTTCTTCTTTCTCCGCTGTAGTCTTATATTCTGGCTACTTGCGTTGCGTATATGGGGAGTGTATCGGGATGGAGGTCGCTTGTGCAAGGGCGGGAGCGGTTGGCAAGGCGGGACTGGGACAGTTTTGTATGCTAGGTTTTGTTTTGTTTCTTGATTTGGGAGTTCAGAGTACCCAGGCATGGCATCGACATTGTTGACACGGCCGAGCGTCTTTTGTGTTTGCCCTGCACACTACTATACCCAGTGCCTTAAATTATGAGCTATCAAGGCAGACTATGCAGAGAAGCGGCTACAATCATATGATTTGATAAGAACGTGGATAGCCCCTGTGATGATCTGGATGGCTTACGTCGCCATCAATTGATGTTGGCCCCTGCATCATGGTCATTTTCGGCCAGGGGGATCACTCACTCTCAGCTCAAGTCAGCCGACCAACAGCAGGCGGCGTCGCAGCAACTTCGCACTGCTTCCATGCCTTTCCGAGATAAGGAAGAAGGCATCGCACATGACGCGGCAGAGGTTCGGCTAAACCGGCGGCCGAGGGCGTAGACGGCTAGGTACTTAGTAACTAAGGTGCCGTCATAGCAGGATTGGCGGCACACGTACAACCTGGACGAGTGCATCACATCAGCCGCCTGCGACTGGCTGCGCATCCCGAACGCTTCAGAGCTCATTTTCCCATTCCCAAGGCCCAACAACACACAACTTCCCGCGAGGTAGGTGATGCCTGGACGGCGCTGAGGGAGCCGATGACTGCTGCCTAGCTGCTGTTTGTGCCTGTGTTTTTGCTGATCCGGACGACATGGCGACTCTCTAGGCTAAACCCCGCCGTTCAAGAGAGTCTGCTGCTCTGCCCTGCGGCATCGACTCACACCGTCATTCTGAACCCGATTCAACGCTCATCGAACCCCCCAATCAGACTCTCTGTCGCCGCCGCTTTTCCTCGTCTAGAACCGAACCTCTTCTCTTCTTCAGCTTCATTCATCCATCATGTGGGGCTGGTTCGGAGGCGGCGCCGCCGCTCAGAAGAAGAAGGAGTCGGCCAAGAATGCCATCCTCGGCCTGCGGTCGCAGCTCGACATGCTGCAGAAGCGCGAGCGACACATCCAGAATCAGATAGAGGAGCAGGAGGCCATCGCCAGGAAGAACGTCAACACAAACAAGACTGGTACGTTTTGAGACGGAAGCACCCCCGCGCAGGAGATGATGAAAGCAGCAGTCTTGTTGACGTGATGTATTCGAAAACAATCAACAGTGGCCAAAGCTGCCCTGCGGCGCAAGAAGATGGCAGAGGGCACGCTGGATAAGACGATTGCGCAGATTGCGACGCTCGAGCAGCAGATTAACGCGATCGAGTCGGCCAACATCAACCGCGAGACGCTGGCGGTGATGGAGAAGTCATCACAGGCTATCCAGAGCATCCACCAGGGCCTGACACCGGAGAAGGTGGAGGAGATTATGTACGTGCCTTGCCCCGTGCTCTTCGTTTACAGTCGAGTCGTCTTTGTTGTTGTTGTCTCTCAGGCAGCGATGAAACTGACATGCCATGCAGGGATAAAATCAGCGAACAGAATGCGCTCAGCGACGAAATCGTCAACGCGATCACCTCGAATACGATTGGCGAGCAGGTTGACGATGCGGCACTGGACGCTGAGTTGGCCGAGCTGCAACAGGAGCAGCTTGACGAGCAGATGCTGAGCGCAGGCAACGTCCCGGTAGCGGACGCCGTCCACAAGATGCCGTCACCATCGCGTGCGGAACGTAAGTGTAGCCTGGGAAATTTTGTATGCTGCGTTGAGGGTGGTGCTGACATTATGGCAGCCATATCTAGCAAGAAGGTGGCGATTGAGGAGGACGACGAGGAAGCCGAGCTGCGGAAACTGCAAGCCGAGATGGCCATGTGATTGTTCTGCAATCAGATGGATGACTCTATGCTGTCCGGGCCATTTGGCGGACCAGCCGAAGTTGGTGGCGTTGTCCTGATGAGCTGTGGACATGGCTTCCATTTCACACCGGTGAAACAATCAGTCACAATGTCTGCAACTTTTTTCTTCTTTCTCCTTTTACCCCCCTTCCCACTTATCATAACCTCTCTTTTGAACCTGACTGGTGTTTCTTTGGCGTTGGCGTCCTTGAGGGTCTATTTATTCTTTACTTTTGATTTGTGTAGGTGGGAGCCCGAACACAAGAGTAAGGGGATGCACTCCATGTAACCTGGGCTGTACGAGGCCTCGGTCACGGGGGACAAGCACTAATCCTACCCTTTTTGGCTGTCTCGTGCTTTTGGTTTTCTTTGTGCAATGCGAAGTGCTGCTCCTGGGTTAGTCGGAAGTTTTTAGCTGGGGTTTGGTAGAGGATTAGATGTCGAGCCAAAGATGGAATCTAAAGAGAATAATATCCTGTTTGCGTCAGCGCGTAATCATATCTACAGTGATTTTTTCAGTGATTTACCGAGTGTAGTATTAATGGAACTCCATCAGGGCTCTTTGCTATCTAAGTATGTCATAGGCATATGGCCTTGTGTAGGAGAGGGAACCAGCACATTTCAGTTGGCGCCGAGGTGCCCCGTGTCTGCGACATCACATGGACGTGGCGGTTAATGCTTTGGGATTGGGGGATGTAGATTCGATCAGATGGGGAAGATGGGCCGATGTCCTTTGATGTACTATGTACGTGCCTATAAGGAGACGCTGCAGCGGAGATGACGTCTGGATAACAAGCTCAGCTGGCGGGAGGAGTTCAGCTGAACGTTGCCTCCAAGCTGGCCGCGGATCAAAGGGCAGCAGGGCCTCTGATAGCTGCAGCGAGCTCGACGTCTTTGAACCTGGGGCATGCAGGTACTCAGGTATTCAAAACGTATTCCTCCCTTATCATCCAGAATCCAATCAGAGCTCACCCTTTCTCTCCGAAACATCAGCTTCTCTTCCTCTCTCTTTCTCACACAGACAGAAAAGAGAGCCAAGTCTCACAATGATTGGACCAGCAGTGACGATGATGCTACTATTCCCATCTCTCAAAGCACACGTGACTTCCCGCCTCCAGACATCTCTCCAAGCGCCAACCTCGACTCTTCCCCCTGCACTTGTGGCTGCTTCTTCCCGCGCTTACAAGTCAGTGAGTTGGCCTTTGCATCTTGCGAGGGCCTATTGATTACCAGTCTGTCTACCTAGTACTATTGCCTCTGCTGTACTGTATTAGCCGCCCAACCATGTAATACAACCTCTTTCTTCGCTCTTGGTACCCGGGATCCCTGCTCTCTGGCGCTTGATTGGATGGCGACGGCTGGAGGCGGCATGCATGGTGCAAGGTGCAGGCAAGCGCCCGGTCTATCGTGTTCGTGTAATAGTAGTAGTAATACGATCAGTATGACATTCATTCCCTTATTATGGGCTGGAGTCTGTTAAGACCTATCAGGTACGTGCAGAGGGGGATTGATGAGAGCTGGAGAGATCGATGCGTCCGGGGGAGTGCAGCAAGCAATCAAGGTTATTTCTTGTTATTTTTGGGGGGGGCTGAACAAAGGGCGGGAAACATGGGTCTGTCTGTCTGTCTGTCTTGGTGTCCGCACGAAGAGGCGGGCGGCTGTGATGGGCGGTTTGATTTGCCTTGGGGAGGAGATGCGGCTTTGCTTTGCTTGTTGTTGTCTTGACAAGGGCGAGATGCATTGCATTGCATGCACGCACGCACGCACGCTTTTTGCCAGCAAGAAGAGCGGCTTGGTCTCTTGAATGGGCGCGTGTTTTGTTTCCTGCGGGTAGGGAGTAGATGGACATCGACAGCAGGTAATAATAGTTCAAGGATGGGCGTCTTCCTGAAAATGCTCCTCTCTTTTTCCTTCTCTTTTCCTTTTCCCTTCTTCTTCTTCTTCTTCTTACAGCAGACGCCTCTCTCTCTCTCGTTCAAACAAACAACGTTTCCGTTTTTAACTTTTCTTTTCCCTTTTTTCCTTTTTCCTTTTTCCTCTTCTTCTCCTTTTGCGTTTCTTTTGTCCCTCTCTCCTGTTCATTTTGGGTCTTTTGTATTTCGTCTCCTCCTTGTACGACGTCTCTGTTTCCACAACGAGAAACATACATACATACCTTCGTTATCTCTTTCTCTTCTTTGCATATCGCTTCGAATCATGCTGAGATGCTGGTCGTCTCTCTTATAATCCCGGGTCTTTCTTTAGGTCAGTTCCACTCTGATATGAATGGTCCCTTCTGCCACGGTGTTGCTGTCGATGTATTCGGACCTACGCAGAGCCTTCGTCCAACTGTTTGCTTGATACCGCGGTGTTGGTGATGATGACAATCATCATCTACTTATAGAACATACAAACCCGCTATCTCACAAATAGCAAGCTCAGTCCATCAGGCAACATAAATATATACCACGTCTCATTCCTGATGCTGACTCTCGACTAGATGTTTCTCGATAGAATGTCTAGGAGGCTCTCCTCTTACATGCTGCTCTTATTCTTCATCACGCTCATTGCCACCGCCACAGCAGCACCTCTCAACTCAGGAGGCATAGACTCATTCGTTCCGAGCTGTGCGGCCCAGTGCTTCGATTCATTCCTCAAGATCAGCTATGCAGACCGCCCTCCCAAGACATTGCCCGCGCTTTGCCCGCGCCTGGGAGCGAATGGCTTCACGATTGGAGAGGCGGCCGTCCAGTGTCTTGTCGCGGAGAGAGCGGCAGGGGCCTGCTCTCAACAGGTCGCAAGCGGTAGGGCAAGATTGCGTATACATGATGAGAATCCAAAACTGACAGCTGGCTGAACAGACGCCGTGATTGACAGGGCCTTTTTCATGTGCTTTGGCCAGCCTGGTGCCATCTCACCCACCCACTCCGTCATCACAGCCACCCTTGCCGTGCCGATAACTGGCACAGGCCCGATTACATTTCCGCCAGCATCGAAGACGAGAAGCACTACGATTCCTACGGCTATCCCTAGACAGTCACGGTCATCCGTCTCTCTGCCGTCTACGCTTGTCACGGACCCGACGTCATTGTCCAGTCTCAGGCCCTCTGCGACTCGATCTACCAGCGTGTCTACAACCAGATCCGCGAGTAGAACGAGGCAAACATCCTCAGACCCAGCCAAGTCGTCGACGACATCCCCTCGCGAGATTCTCACAACCGATCCAGTGGCCCCGACCTTCACCGTGACCAGCACCTCCGCAACTGAAAGCAGTACAAGCACAGACGTTCCCGACGGCGCATTGGGCGGACAAGGAAACAAGGAGGCTTCGAAATCCCTTAGCACAGGACAAATCGCCGGAATCGCAATCGGATGCATCGCAGGTGTCGGGCTCATCGGCTTCGGCATCGCAGTGTTCTGCCGATGCCTCCGCAGGAGGTCCCGCTTCGGAAGGAAATGGAGGAAAGGCGGCAGGCCTCTGAGGGACTCGGGGAGCTTTGGCACGGAAAAGGGCCCTCACGGCGGCGGTGGCGGCGGTGGTGGTGGAGGAGGAGGCACCGACTCCTGGATCACGAACCAGCTCCGGGCGCCGCTCGACCCGGGGCTGGTGCCGACGCCGACGAAATCGTGGTATAACAGGGCGAGCTGGAGGCCGAGTGCCATTGGACTTGCGATATCGCCTTCTCATACGCGAGACGTGACTCGAGCGCCGACGCCGACGTCTGCACGGCCTCTGTCGAAGCTGCTTCCGGCCAAGCCCGTCATGGATCGCGGGCCCCCGAGGCTTGAGGTGTCGCTGCCCAGTCGAGACGGAGACTCGCATTTCGGTGCGGCGGCATTCATGGGCGCGGCAGCTGGTGCAGCCTCAGGGGCGGCCATGAGCGGCGCCATTGCCGCGTCGTCGTCCAAGCCATCGCAGCCAAAGGCCGAACAGAAACCCCAGCCGTTGCCTCAATCACAGATACATCCCGCCTTACGCGAGCCCGCAACGGCTGAGCCATCAATCAGACCGCGAAACCTCACTCCTCAGAGCAAACCCCAATCTCCCTTGCCGCTGAAGCTGCTCATCCCCAGGACGGGCAACTTCAAGCCGTTCGTCCCCGTCGTCACCAGGCACGACAGCTCGACCACGGAGTTTGAAGAAGACGGCAGGTCCTCCTCGGTCTCGCCGGTGGGCCAGGTCTGGAGACCCCCCTCGGACGATCCCCAATCGGCGGCCCCTTACTACGTCGCGGACCGGAGCGGCAACTGGAGACTCGGCGACCCGGCGCGGGCTCAGGAGATTGCAGAGCTCGAGGCGTCCATCAGCCCGTTGACGGCCGCCCCCAAGTCCGCGGCCCCCAAGCTGGTTGCCGGACTGGGACTGGCCACGGAGGCGGCTGGCGCTCTGGCCCTCGTCAAGGCCGCGAGCCAACGAAGAGACAACAACAACAACAACAGAGCAGCAGCCGCTCAGCAAAAGAGGCAGAGTGCCCTCGGCGGCATCAACATGGCTCCTGAAAAGACTATCCGAGCCGTCGAGCCGTCTCTGTCTTCGGATGAAGACATTCAGGGGCAGGACCAGGACCAGCAGCCATATGCCCCGCGACCCCTATTCTCCGCCGCCGCCGCCGGCAACAATAACAGCAACTTCCCCCGCCGCTCGTTAACCAACCGCCGGTCCTCGACGCGATCATTGACTCGTCCGAGGATCACTTCCACAGATAGCGGCGTGACAACCATCTCCACGTCCACGGACGACACCGACCTGCGCTCCCCTCCCCCGCTGGAACAGCCGGGCAGTCTCTCGCCCGTGGTAGAATCCCCGCAGGCCCTTCGGCCAAGAGAAGGCCGCTCGCCGACGCAGTATCCCAAGATCCCGGCCAGCCTGCAGGTCGCCGTCCCTTCTTCAGCAGGCAATGCTGCGACTGCTGCTGTGAAAAGCGACCGTCCCGCGCAACCAAGCCCCAGCTTTGGCGCGCCTCTCGCCGCCGGCACAATGTCATCCGCAGGTGGCAACATGCCCAGGCAGCAGCAGCAGCAGCAAGGCAGGAAGCTCATGAGCCCGCGTCAGGCACAGCAAGCCCCTGACGCGATCCGCACCGGCTCTCCCATGATGCGCTCAGAAAGTATGCCCTTTCGTCCAGACAACAGCAACAACAAGCGATACGTCCAACCTCCGCGCAGCAACACGCTCCCACATCAACAACAACAACAACAGGACATCCCATCATCCCAGCCTCCGAGGGCTTACCCCCCTCAGCAACAGCAACGATATCCCGCACAATCTTCCCAGAGGCCGCCGCCGCCGTCGTCGTCCAACAACTACTCCATGCCCTACCGTCTGCCTCCCCACCCCACAGCTTACAGACCCAACATCGACTCCTCGGGATATCCCTATCAGACTCGTCTGCCGGACCTGATGAATCAAGCTCCCGCAACATACAATCTTCCTTATCCTCCCCAGACAAACAGATACCCGCACCACCACCCACGGAATCACCAGCCCCCCTTTACGCAGCAGCAACAGCAACAGCAGCAGCAAGCCTCTGGCAGACCTCTTCCACAACAGCAGCCAAGTCAGCGAGTTCAACCTCAACTTCAGCCCCAAGCTCAACAACGCCAGCAGCAGCAGCAGCTCCAACTGCAACAACGCCGACAACAACAGCAACAGCAACAGCAGCAACAAAACCTCTCCATCCAACCCTCCTCCACCACCCAAACATCCCTCCCACCCCCGCTCTTAACAACCACCTCCGCAACATCAACATCATCATCATCATCAGCATCAGCTTCATCCTCCCTCCTCGCAAAACGCCTCGGCCCCTCCCGCGCAGCAACCCTCACCATCCCCGTCCCCCAATCCGCCTCCTCATCAATCTACTCCACAGCCACCACCACCACCGCCAACAACATCAACAACGCCAACAACAACAATAGCACTAGTAGCCCAGCCGGCAGCAGAAGCAAATGGCTCCGCCACAACTCCATCCCCTTCCCCGCGTCGACGACGACAGCAGCCTCCCCAGGAGGAGACCCAAAAACACAGGTCTCCTCCTCGCCAAAGAGGTTCCCCCCTCCCCCGCAGGAACCCGCAGAGCTGCCCGCCACCCCCGTCTGGAAACCTAGACTTACCCCTACGAGGAGGGGAGACGACTTGTTTCTCATTGCGCAGTAGAATTTTTTCCATCATCATCATTACTCTCAGATTTCACAATACATAACCTTGTCTTCCCCACAAGGGAAGGCAGTTGTGTTTGTAAATATGTACATGGCAAAGGGAAGATGAGTACCTAGATAGCCAAGTGAAGCGAGGAGAAAGAAGAAGCAAGACTGTTATTACCACCTCCCTTTCTGTGCTGGGTCATATGAGAGAGTAAACGCTCGCTGGGCTCATGCTGGGTTGCTGCCCATGCTAATCACCCTTTCTTACGTCCTGTCATGATACTCTGTACACTATACTCCTGTTTGCCTTTATCTAATCTTTCCTTTTCTCAGACATCATTTGCTCCAATCGAGCATGTACATTAAGCAGACTACAACGCAAGGGACCGGGCTCATTTAAACTGACTTGTACCACATCTCATTGTGTATACAACCTTCATCAGGGGAATGTGATTTGTATTCGACAAAGGACGTCTAGGTAATCCAGGGTTCCCAAGCTCCTCCCCCTACTCATGCCTCCAACCCGAGATCAGCGGTACCGTCGATCATCCAAGCCCTCATTCTCCTCTGCCACCGTTTGGCTCATGACGCATTCCCTCTCCACGAAACGCTTCGACAAGGGCCTCGCCCCAGACGGTTGATTCCCCATGTTTACCATCTCAATGTCCAGAGCTGAATCGCTGGTTTCGTCCGAAGGTCGCATACGCCTCGAGTTCCTCTTCTTTACACTTGCCAACCCGAAAAAGTCCTCCACGTCACTCTGGATATCACTCAACTTGTCGTCCAGTGCCTCGAGCCCCTGATTCCACGCCGCCTGGTTCAGGTGGGCGTTCTCGTCGACCAGCTTGTTCTTCTTGCGTATCTCCTGCCACCGTGACATGCTCCCCAGCTCGAAGACATTCATCCTTCGCTTCTTGCCAATAGGGTTCCCGAGCATGGCTGGCCGCCATGCTTTCTCCTCCTCCACCGCTGCTTGTCGGTCGTCAGGCATAGAGGCGCGCCGAATGGTCGATCGGCGACGGGCCTCGATCAGTCGGTCCATTTCCTCCAATTTGGAATTTGGTATGATTTGCACGTCTGTGAACCGGGCCAGAATCAACAGCAGCATGATGGTTAGGATGAGCAGGATGCCCGCCACAACCCCGGTAGCTACTTGCTGGCCCAGTGTCCGAGTGACGAGACCACCGAGGGCGCTGGCGCCAGCTGCGAAAATGAATGCCAGAGTATGGATGGCCGCAAAGCCAGCAGTGACTCTTGGGAAAGAAGAGTAATTCGTTCGCTTTTCAGACTTTCCCGACTTGCTGCGCTGGCGGCCCGTCATCCCGGGTGAAAGATCAGAAGTGTCAAAGCACTCCATCACCAGACCGTTGCATTCCGCAATGGCGAGGCAAGACAGGAGTCCTATGCAAAATGCAAAAATGGCCGGCACACCCACATGCATTGGGGGGCCGGAAGACACCGCCGCATAGCAGATTCCTGCCATTGGCAGCAGAATGGTGAAGATGGTGCGCCGGACAAGGTGGGAGGACCATGCAATCTTCTTCTCCATCGTTGCCTTGTTGGTGTTGAGCTGCGCTTGGCGGGATCTTGAGAAGAAACTGGCCTTTTGAAAGGGAATAGCCAGTATGGCTCCAAGAGCGACGCTACCGACGAGAAGGCCGACGTTGGGAGACCGTAGTTTGTAAAACTTTGATGTCAGCGACCCCAGGAGCACAATGGTCAAGACCACTTGTGCGTAGATCCAGGCGGCATAGAGGGCGAGAATCAAGAAGCCGGGCTGGCGAAGCATCTCCAGAGTGAGGAGAATGCCATGATAGACCTCTTGTCCCCACCACTTCGGACCCGTCTTGACCCGGTGCATCATGATCTCGCCTCGAGCCACACGCCGTGAGATGTCACCTCCTGTTCTGACTTCCGCCACCGATCGTCTGTAGGCAGAGCGGCGGACCTCGGGGCAGAGGACGTTGAGGATGAGCACAACGGCAATCATTATGATGCTGATGTAGAACCCCCATGTTGGAGGGTACCTGTCAATGACACAGGCACCGACTAGGAAGCCAATGCCTAGAGAGCCAACCCAGCACCATGTCCATACGCCCAGCCAGACTCCCATGCCGCCCCCGTGCCGCCTTGCATCGTAATGGTCCACTACTTCTTGATGGGGGTTGGCACTCATGAGCGAGGCTCCAAAGAGATCCATCAGTATGGAATGGAAATTCATGCTGGCAAACCCGAGTGAGCCCCCTATGAGCGTTCGGGATGCAAGCAGCATGGCCCTCCATGTCCCCGTGTTGGCGAGTCTCTGAGTGTTGACTGCGAGGGCTTGTGGGAACAGGAGAGGCATGGCGAGTACGAGGCTCGACATGATGTATGGCTTCCGCCCGTGTAGCAGAGGCAGCGGCCACATGAAGAAGGTTGGCATTGCCAAACCCAAGAAGCAGCCGGTGTTTCCATGCACCGTGGCGTGAGACTGGTCGATGATGTAGTACTGTATCGAAGGGACCAGGCCTGCGTAGATGCCCAATATGATGCCGATTAGGGCAGTGCTGATACATGCTACAGTAGCGACAAATCTCTTGCGGACTGGTGACCAGTCTCTGGCCGTTGGTTGTCGTTTGCGTGAGCCGGCCAGGCTGAACCCTTGCGAACCCCTTAGACTGACATGAGAGCGCCGTCGAAGGCTGATTCCGCGATCGGCATACCTTCGACGGCCGGCAGCTTCACGGGGAGCATCGTCATCACCAGACTCATGTGACGCATGCCTTGCATGTGAGTTCCTTGATGCTGCTTTGCTCTGACGGGCCTTGGCTTGCAACAGGGGGGCATCTCTTTTCCCCCTTGTCAAGTCATCGTATTGTCTCTTGCGGTTCAGCTTGTGCATCTGGGTCGGAGGATTCTTGGATACCGGCGCAAACTGCTTCTCCTCGATGATGCTTGATCGTCTCCCTGGGATCAGCAGGGACGCCTCAGCTGCAGTCTGGGGTGGTGTTGACGCCTGCACGGGATATCCTCTTGTGGTTGTATCATCGTATATACCAGAATAATTATGCAGAATTTTGTTCAGCCGTGGGCGTTCAGGAGCACCTGTATAAGTGGCTGCATGCTGGTACAGAGGCCTTTTTTGCTGGGCCTCTTGTTGGAGGTCAGCGCCAGGGGTTCGGCCAGAACTCTCATGAGTGTAGTTCGATGTATCGTCTTGAGAAGCTCCATCCTGGCCACCAGGCACACTGTCTCGCCGAGTATGCAGATTGTCGCACGGCTGATGGTTCTTGGGGCATGGAGAAGAAGGGTCAGGGTGCCGGACTACCTCAGAAGCCAAGGCAATGGCCTCGTTCATCAGCTTCTCAAGATCATTGACCGCCCGCTCAAATATTAATGGATCAATCTTTGGCTCGGACCTGGCAGAATAAGATGACTGGCCCGTCACACGGCGGGATGGAAGCATGCTCATCGACGCTGCATCAGAATGCCGCCGGTGCTCTGCCGAAAACGATCTTTTGGCCCTGTCCTTTGAGGGCAGCTCTGTATATCTGGTAGTATATGCCTCCGGATACTTCAGAAGGTCGCGAAGCCACTGAGCAGTGCGCTTGTAATCCAAAGTTGACCCGAGGGACTGCGTTCGCGCTGACGAACCATAGGATGCCCGTCTCTTCAGCTTTCCTTCCTATGAGTGAAGGGACTGACCCGATTGCCTCGGGAAGAATGGCTTGTCCTGGGCAGCGGTAACACTCGGTGCTTCCCCCACTGGCCGAACCTTGGATGCTGAAGCATGGCTTTCGTGGCCACTCCTTGACGAAGGCTGGGCTGTGAAGGCAGGCCGAACTTTGGAAACGGGAATAGGAGAGTAAATAACATGGCGTTGAGATGGAGTGGAGTCTCTGCGTTCGTATGTGATCGAGCTCCCAAAGCTTTGCTGCTCAGCTTTGTGATGTAATTGGAATGCTGAACGGCCACTTGGTTGCACCAATCCAGACTCTCCCACATCATGGCTTCCAGGCTGGCCATCTTTGGGAGTGAACGCGGAGTTTGCATCGAAACGCTGATCGTGTATAACGCTCTCATCGGTTGTTCTAGTAAACGGCCTGACCTTTGAGCTATGCCCGTGAGGCTGATGTTCATCCTCCTGAGGCAAGTCGGGCGGAAAGGCGCGAATCTTCGACATCGGAAACACTAGATTCCGGCGACCATCTCCTCCGTAGTCACCGTCACGGCAATCTGCCTCCGGGGTCACAGCCTCTAGACCATCGACGGTGTCATAGTCATCTCCCTGTTCTTTTCTAAACTGGGCGTCGTCGGGGCCTGGGTTGAACGGCCGAGCTTTGTTGGCAGTACGCCTATAGTCGAGCCCGCGCTGATCTCCTGAAACCACCGGATGATGTGTGGGATGGTAGGAGAATGCTGGGCGAACCTTGACAGCAATGCTGTGGCCCTTGTGCCGACGAATTGGCACCGTCACCTCAGTGACCGAAATATCACCACTGGACATGACGCGGTGCATCTCGCCGCTTATCATGGTGATATCAGACACTGGGGACGAGGGTTGGGTTGAAGAACTGACTGTGCGAGGCCCCGGTGGTTGGACCCCATCATCGCACAAACCAGCACCATCCAACAGCCCGGCGTGGTATATGTCGGCATGCATGTCGTCTGGATGCAGAAAGGGGTTGACAGGGTCTCGGTCGATGAGGCGTGTCGGCAACGTGTAGCTTGTCTTGTCAGAACGAAGGGCAGGGGACGATTGTTGGGGAAGCATGGAAGTCGCCTGTCCGGGGGCAGAGTTGCGACAGTCGAGCTCTGACTTGGACGACTGGGAGGGCGTGTTGATATGATGGTATCTGCTGGCGACGGGCGGCGCGGGCAAGTCTCTTTCGACAAGGGTCGGGCCGCTGGCCGATGCCTTGAGCATATGGCGTCTGAGCGCAGCAGCCCGGCTAGCGGAGGTTCCGGCTGCGTCAGTTGTCATATTGTCTTGCTCAGGCATGAGCATGGCAAGCGAGGGGCGGCCGCTTGGTGCCGGTGTCTGATCAAAGCCTCCAGTCTCCATGCCGGCTTGGTAACGGGGCTGCTAGACCTTGATGCTGTGGAACAAGCTCAGGAGCATTGCCTCCTGATGGTGTCTACCCCGTGCTCTCGGGACGTGCGAGTATGCGAGTACACAGACCGGAGAAGAGGCGTGTCTTGAGGACAAGCACGGTATACAGGAGAGCTGAACGGAAAGGGGGGCTTCTGGCTGGGGTACCTCTCCTCGAGGTTAACCCGGCCCCGATGGACCGACGATTGATCGATATCGGCCTCTGAAGTAAAGAGCGAAAGCGGTGGCTAGGCCGAGTGCTGGATGATGCAAGGATGAAGAGGGCTTTGCTGGCCCCGCGGGGGCGAGAGGGTAGAGGAAGCTGTGGGACCACGCAGTTCTTTGGTGAGCATGCAGGTATATGTGAATATTGTTGCGAGTAGAATGATACAGTCCAAGAGTGAGGAGGTGGAGGAACGATAGGGCTGTCGTGAGGGAAGGGGAGGCGGATGAGGTTGGTGATGGAGAGAGAGATTAGTGTGATGAGGCTGGGTTCAGATTTGTTGCACCCTCTATTGATTTCCGCTTATTCAGGTTTGTTGACGTCTGGCTCCTGCTTGGCGAGAGTTGGCGAGGCGTGGGATGCACCTCCCCAATGCCCAGGTTCCCAGATTCCGGGCCGGGCATGGAAGTACACCGAGGTACCTCGAGTCTTCTGTTCTTCCTCTTATCTCGGGTCTTTCAGTCACCAACTCCCTCACTCACTTAATCACACCTCCCATCTCATTTGCCTCAAAGCTCCCCCTTCTTTCATCTCATTCATATCATACCAACGCCGCAACAGATTAAGGAGTCGGAACCCGGAATCGAGTCTGGTCAGCTACTAGCTCCTTCAGGCACACACGGGAGAGACGGTAGGGGGCAAAAGGGGACCACTCGGAGTTGGAGCGGCAGAGGCAGAGCAGCAGTGACACGCCATGAGCCCTGCAATGGTGCGGGTCGTCTCCAATAACATTAGTTGTTACCTCGACGCTGAAAGCTGTGTGGTTGACGGACTTTGGGCCAGCCGGGAGGGTGTGTATCTTGAAATAATATGCCCGCTTTGGGCAACGGCTGTATAAGTCATTCTTTGTAATATCAGAGTTGCCATGGATGAAGAGGCAGAAGAGACTTGTCCAATCCGTCAATCTCCCTATGCAATTACCTTGTCCTACTGGCCGACTCGCTGCCATTCTATGCTGCGGTAAATGCGTGCTCATTAGCCAAAGTTGGCAAGGCATCACCGCAGCGTCTCCAAGTAGTGAGAATATCCAGACATGCCTATATGTATATCTCCCAACAAGCCGCCATGTTGGGTATAGCTAGCCTCAGACGCACGCATTAGACATTCATCTCCATGTCATCAAAGCGGCGCTGACGGGATACCTTTACTCGCCTTGCCAACTTGATCTATGAAGCCGCCATCCAGCCCCTAACAGCATAACATCCGGGTTTATCTCTGTTCTCTCGGAATACCGATTCACAAGGAACAGTGTCGAACCCTTGGATTACCTACAAGCTCAAAGGTAGGCAGTAATTACGCCGGGTTTCGACAGTATGCCTTATGCCCCCAACTGTCACGGCTCGCCTTGTCCGCTATACTCATCGTCGAGTCCTATTCCAAGAGCAACCTGAGTCCAGCATCTTACATCGACGTCGTGTAAAGACTGGACGCTACAGTCGGCTCTGACACGTTCCACGGCCGTTGCACACACGCCCCCGTTACAAAGCAGCACTGCCGTACTAAACACATGCATGAAGGGTGGCAGTGGTACCCAAAAGGACCATCCCTCAGCCTTATCGTTATTAGCGGGTTGACACCTCAGGTAACGGGTCCTTGCACAGGTCTGCGCTGCCTGTGTTCCTGAGCCAAGAGCCTCGTGCAATGCAGGCCACTTCAGCTGCAATTTGTTCCGTCCCCCCATTGCAACGCTTGATAGCACAACGCCCCCCCCCCTCCTCCCTCCGCATCCTGCCCCCCCTCGTATTGTCAGGTACGATACGACGAGATCGGGGTGTTCCCCCTCGGAAGCGTTACACCATCCACGCCAGAAGCTGCCTGTCCTCCATGATCTTCTGAGCATCGCCCCCTTATTTTTCTTTGGGGTCATCATAGTCTGACACGAGAGGAATGTGGCTTCGGTGTCGCTCGGCGTAAAAGAAAGAGGAGTACTCACGATGGTGATGGCGATGGGAATGCCTCTGTAGGCATCGCAAGAAAACAGCCAGTAGCATGCATTTTCTCGCCTCTTGCAGGAATCTCAACAGGCACCAATGCCCGCTTCAAATAGCACCTCTGTCCAAATCCAGCCACTGCCGACAAAGGGTCTCTGACTCTTCCCCATGCAGCGCCCACACTGAAGCACAATCCTCCCGGGGACACTGCCGAATGCTGCCACCACCCCTCGGCACGTAGGATGCCTGGGTAACAGAATGGAACAAAAAGAAGGTCACAGAGAAGCACGGAAGTTTCTGGAACATATTCCTTTAAAGAAGTGACTACATACATACACCGTATGATGCTGCAGCCTTGGAGTCCTACGCCTTGTGAGACTCATGTATGTACATGTATGTACGTATGTACAAATGATAGCAACTGGTGTCTGCCTAGAGCCCCAGGCCTCAGAGTCCTCGCTGCCGAGTATGAGACATACCTACATGTACGAGTACTTTGCCCTACAACGATGACTGCTGATTCGGGTTATGGGCCACTTGCTGCACCCGTATGTGTGTTCTAAGCCTCCAAAATATAACCCAAGGTAGGACATGCCCACATCACTCCCGCCGGGTACCGTACCCATCGGATTCCCCAGCATTCAGCATCTATAGGTACCTACCTACGCGGGATTACATGTAGTGGTCAACTGTCCCCTTTGCCACACGGCGACACGGCTAAGGCGCTTCTCGCAATAAGCACTGCTGCCGGGTAAGCACACTGATTGACTCCCCACCTCGAGTCTCATACAGCAATACTCGTTCTCCCGTCTCTGTGTGTGAAAGAGCCTCACGCGGCAGGTAGCACGCCTTACATGTAACCCAATGCCAGGGTTGATCTGTACTCTATACATGCACTGCAACGCTGCTCCAGGCAGAGACCCAGGGTACCCGCTACCCGTCCTTGGTAGCTCGACAGTTTCTCACCAACATGTAGTGCCTCAAGGTAGCACTCCCACCCGCAGAATGCTTGTAGGGGCGAATACTTACCAAGAACAAAGACATCCCCCAGGAGACATGCAGGGCTGATGCTGCAAGGTTCCCCGTCCCGGTCCAGGGCCTCCGGGTCATGTGCGTGTATGTGTGTGTGTATAAGAGAGTGTGTGTGTTCGCGGCTTCAGCCCAGCCAATGGGTTCATGCAGTCCCTGTTCAAGTCCCTGTCGAGCCTGTTCAAGTTTAACTACCTACCTATTCAACTCCATCTTGTCCAGGCTCGGTTGCCCGTTTCCGCCCAGCCCACCAGATGAGTGGTTTCAAGCTTACACGCTGCCTCGTCTCGTCCGTGTCCATCTTTTCATTCGCTAAAACAACCTTGGAAAACAAACACAAAGAGAACTGATCGCTGCTGTTTCAACCCCGTCGC